CATTGGCCATAGTTGCTGAGGGCTGATGGGAGTTGGAGTCCAGCAATACCTGAAGGTTCCCCAGCCTTGGCCTACACTGATTGGCGGCAGCTGTCCATGGTCTCTCCCACTACCTACGTGATCATTTATTACCGGAGCAGTGGGGGATTGAACCTGGGGCATGTATTCTGCTGCTAAACCATGACCCTTCCCCAGCTGGGGGGACCATTGCTTGACAAATCAATCTGGTAATGTCCACGTGCCCAATCCTGCACTCAGCAAACCCACAGCAGTGGAGAATAGCCCTGCCATTATGCTCTTCCTGTCTGAGTTCCTGGAGGAGGAATCTTCTTGGTAATGAGGGACTTCTTGGTAGTGGCACCCACCCTGTGGAACATCCTTTCTGGCGGTTCCCTCCCTGTGAGAAGCCAAGTTACAGGGAACCAGGCAGAGGGCCTTCTCGGTAGTTGCACCTGCCCCGTGGAACACCCTCCCACCAGATGTCAAAGAGAACAACAACTACCAGACTTTTAGAAGACATCTGAAGGCAGCCCTGTTTAGGGAAGCTTTTCATGTTTAATAGACTATTTTAATATTCTGTTGGAAGCCGCCCAGAGTGGCTGGGGAAACCCAGCCAGATGGGCAGGGTATAAATAATATATTATTATTATTATTATTATTATTATTATTATTATTATCCCTCCCACCAGATGTCAAGGAGATAAGTACAACTTTTAGAAGACACCTGAAGGCAGCCCTGTATTGGGAAGTTCTGAATGTTTGATGCTTTATTACGCTTTTATCTTTGTTGGAAGCCGCTCAGGGTGGCTGGGGCAACCCAAGCAGATGAGCGGGGTACAAATAATAAAATCTTTATTATTATCAAGCTAAACTTCCTGAATTGCTCAAAGCTCAGCCTGCATCTGGGTCCTTTGTGAACCTTTGGCTGGAATGGCTTTTTGTCAGCTGGACTCTGACCACTGTGTTTGTATCTGAACTGGAATCTGGAGTAGGAGGAAAGGAACTACACTTGATTCTGAACCAACAGCCTGTCCCTCAGCGATCCTTATAGCTCCAGGGAATTGGGATGGTTCTTTTTGTTTTGGGAACATAGGAAGCTTCCTTATACTGACTCAGATCATTGACCCAGGCCTGGCTCAGCGTTGTTAATGCCAGGGATTGAATTTGGGACCTTCTGCATACAAAGCCTATGTTCTGCCTCCGAGCTATGGCACACTTTGCTTCGCACGCAAAGGAAGACAGGTCTGCTGTTCTGCAGCTGCCTTGAGAGCTGCTGGAACTCCAAGGCTGGAGTTAACCTCCTACTAGGGTTAAGGAGGCTGCTAGTGATGGATGGCTTCGTTTATTCATAAGCAGGCCAGCCTTGGTCTAGAGCAGTAGATTGGGAAACTGAAACCCAGCTCATCACTCCCTGTTCCAGGCAGGCTACAGCACTCCACAGACTCTTCCAATTATCGCCAGCCAGCTGGAGCATCAGGAGAGCAGCCAGGGCCACCCAGAGCTTCCCAGCTGCCCCCTTATGTTGTGAGGCTGGTGCCTCAGCTCCATTCTGTGCGGTTGCTACCTCTTGCATTGCAGAACAATGCCAACAGCTGACGGGGGAGCCCATCCCACAATGTCATCTCTGGTAGTGCATTCCCAGGAAACCGCTCCATTGCCCTGCTTTCTGCTACCACCCATCACCATGAAAAATTCTCCAACAAAGACCACAGGTGGCTCAAGCCTCAGCCTTGTAGCCATCTTCTTTTTAAGTGGCTATGGTGTGCAATACTTTGGCCATCTCATGAGAAGAGAAGACCCCCTGGAAAAGACCCTGCTGCTGCGAAAGATTGAGGGCACAAGGAGAAGGGGACGACAGAGGACGAGATGGTTGGACAGTGTTCCCGAAGCTACCAGCATGAGTTTGACCAAACTGCGGGAGGCAGTGGAAGACAGGAGTGCCTGGCGTGCTCTGGTCCATGGGGTCACGAAGAGTCGGACATGACTAAACGAATAAACAACAACAACATGGTGGGCAAAGGCACCCACAAAATGGCATTTGGAAGGATGGCACCGAACCAAACCGGCCTCAAAGTTGATAGGACAAGAGACAAGGAGACCAACAGTAGAGGGAGCTAGCGCCAGTGACAGGTGGAGCTGACCGATTCCAATTTTGTCCCCATCCTTCTCATTAAGCTACACAAAGGCAGCGAGGAGGGGGAAGCTAACAGCCAGGGCCACCCCTTAAATTGGTTGTAAGAAAGTAGAGAGGTCTGTTGTGATGAATTACAATCCACCTTGGCATGAATGAACGTCAGAAGCTACTTTAGTCAGACCATTAGTACATCTAGCTCAGTATTGTTGACACTGTCTGACAGCAGCCCTCCTAGGTTTCAGGCACAAATTTATCCCATTCTTTCACTATATTGCATGAGAGTATTGGTCCATCTAGTTCAGTATAGTCTGCACTGACTGGCAGATGCTTTCTGGGGTTTGAGACAGGAACCCCTCCCAGCCATTCCCAGAGACTGAAAAGCAGATGCTCTACAGGTAAGCTACAACCGTTCCCCAAATTTGCCTTTCAGATTGTTGAAAAAAGCAAGTTATGTTTTTGACTAGGGGGAGCTTTAGCAGCCTTCAGACCCATTGTGCAGGTATTTAATCCTGTTGTTGTTGTTTTTAAGGAAGTCATTTGTAGGAGAGGCCACTGTGGCATCTTTTTCAGTGAGTGCTGTGAAGCCTGTTGGGTTTTTAAGAGGATGAAGGAAGAGGGAATAAGGGATCTTTGATGCAGGCTCTGTCGAGACTGAGGGAGTGGGGCTGCTGGTCTTAGTCAGGATGATGCTGCAGAGCCGAAAACATGAGGAGCAGGAGGGCCAGTGTCAACGCTGTTTCATGTCAAGAAAAACAAATCCCTCAGCTAATTTCACTTGGAACTCTTTTTTTTAACAGTCAACATAAATAAAAGAAAAAGCAAACCCTGGAGCAGGCTGACATTTACAAGGGTCACTCTTCAAGCGATGTGTCCAGGAACGCTAATCATACATGCTGATCTCGGTTGCCTTTCTTGGCTGTTGTCCTAGCTGGATCCGTGCGGGAAGCCTGACAAGTGTCCTGCTGGCAGCCACATCGCCGGACTCATCACAAAAAGCGGGAGAGAGCGCCTCGACTTGAGGAGCTGCATTCTCATACCCAGCCTGGCAGCAAAGTTTTGTGAGCAGGAAACGGAGCACGGGACTGTGCAAAAAAAAAAAAAAGCCATTCCGTTGAATGGGGAAAGGGGTGGCATCCCGTTGAAAACACCACTCTTCCTAAAGTTAGAAGCTGACTTCTACCCAGGCCAATGTTCCCCAAACTTGGGTCTCAAGCTGTTTTTGGACTACAATTCCCATCGTCCCTGACCACTGCTCTTGCTAGCTAAGGATGATGGGAGTTGTAGTCCAGCTGGAGACCCAGGTTTGGGAAACACTGTGACCTAGCTCAATATCTAAGCCAGCCTTCCCCAACCTGGTGTTTTCCGGATTTTTTTCTGACTCCAACTCCCACAAGCCCCATGCTGATGGCAACTGGGTGTCCAACAACATCTGGAGAACATCAGCCTTTGGAAAGGCTGGCCTGTGTTGACCGGCAGTGGCTCTCCACAGTTTCCAGGAGTCTTTCCTAGCTCTTAACTGGAGAGGCCAGGGATTGAACCTGGGATGTTGTTTATGCTGAGCACATGCTTTGCATGAGGCAGTGATGGCCACCAACTTGGATGGCTTTAAAGGAGGATTAGACAAATTGATGGAGGAGAATAAGGTTACCAGTGGTGTTCTACTTCCACTGCCAGAGGCAATATGCCTCTGAATGCCAGTTGCCGAGAACTGCAAGTCAAGAGAGTTGCTGTGGAACTCAGGTCCTCCTTGGGACCTTCCCACTGGGCCATCTGATTGGCCACTGTGAGAACAGGATGCTGAAGTATGATAAGCCTTTGACTTGATCCGTCAGTGGCTTCCCCACTGCTAGGGTGAATGAAGGGACATAAACCTTGTGGCTGTCCCTGACTTCAAGAGCATGACTATTAAGGATGTGTCGTCCTCATAGGAGCATTCAGCCATGCATTTGGATTGCCACTTAAACTGGAGATGTTCAGAATGTGGATTTTTTTAAAAAAGGAGGGCTAGCTTCTCCTTCCATGCCATGAATCATATAGCGCAAATTCCACAACATCTATCGCTCACCTAGTGGTGAATCTGCCGGATGTATTCAACAGGTATCCAGACTTTTTTAAAAAGTGCAGTAAGAAAGCATCATTTGCTAAAAGGCTGGCGATAATAGGGCAGGGGTGCTTTTCAGCCCCCTTCTTTGCACACCCGCAGAATTGGCTTCTGCCACAAGGCAAGAGAGGGAAGATTGCGGATGGGGCAGGACGTTGGGTCCAAAGCAAGCTTCTGTCTCCTTCTCCCTCCTGGCAGAGAGAGGGAGAGCAAAGGGGCCCATTCCGGGCAATCGGCTCGGTTCCCAACAACTGAATTTGCTGCTGTGTCGTTCAGCGGCCAAAATATTCCAGCCGGACCTCATCTGGAGCTTGTTCCAGTGACCACAGCACTCCCCCGCCACATCACTGCCACAGCAGAGACAGCCTTGAATGTGTGCCTGCATCCCCCCCTCCCTAACCTTTCCCCTCACTCTGTTAGGAAGAAGAAAAATGCGAGGCCCATAGAGCAAAAGAAAAAAGTGCTCTGCTCATCCACCAATCCTACAAACTGTCCCAGAATCAAGCAGCAGGAGGTTGGGTGGTGGTGCTTTTCATGGGACTTTGGCTGCCTTATTAAGCAAATGTCCCTGAGACAAATGGGCATAGAGGTCCCCTATTGTATAGCAGTGGCAGGTAGGAGACTTATTGTATGTCTCATCTCAGAAACAAGGCCCATCCATTCCAGTGGGATTGACTCCTATGTACATATAGACCCAAAGAATTGCAGAGTTGGAAGGGACCATGAGGGTCATCTACCTCAACCCTCTGCAATGCAGAAATCTTTTGCCCACCATGGGGCTCAAACCCATGACCGTCAGGTTAAGAGTCTTGTGCTCTACCAACTGAGCTGTCTCAGCTTGCCCTCTGTCACGGACTGCCATCAGGTGGCTTGTGGAGAGTTACGGTTGTATCCAATGCTAGCCCTGCTCAGAGTGGAGCCATTGAAGTGAATGACCCGACTAGGGTTTAGGCTGCTCAGCAAAGATGGATCCAACCTTCAGATGGGAAAGCAGTGGCCCTTAAGATCTTGCTAGACTCCAACTCCCATCATCCTTGACTTTTGGCCATATTGGCTGGTGAAGTTGGGAGTCCAAAAACATCTGGAGGGGCCACAGCTCCCCCCAGCCTTGCTTTAGATTTTCTGCTTCCACATGGGTGCATTTTCGAGGTGGACACTGATTTCTTCATCTACAACCAAATCTTCAATCTGGTAAGATTGGTCCTCACCGGTTCCTCTCTCCCGTTCCACCAGCATCTCAATCCTACCTATTCATTTGTCCCATGTGGGTAGCGAATTCCTCCTGCTGATCACTATCTGGTCTGTCTGTGGCATCTTTGTTTGCCTTTAATATGTACCAGGGAAAGAAAGCAATGAGCCTAGTTCAGTTTGGACAGCAGTTCCATGGTTCTGCTGTAGAAACAACACCTTTGATTGATTGTGCAGGGCGGGTCTTACCTGCCCCCCCCCCCGTATTTTATTCAAGTTGGCACCCCTGACTGTAACTAAGTGGGGTCAGGTGGTGCCTCTGTGCATGTGCAAAGTACCCTTCCCACACTCTGCCCAGGCCTCACCCCTCACTGGCTCTGTTCTATAACCTCATCAAAGGCAGTGTGTCCTTGAACTGTGATAAAACCTCTCGCCTGGATAGAGGGCATCCGATCACACTCACTTTTGCCATTCCCACCAGTAGCACAAGACCCCGGAAGGCTGTCCACAAGGGGAATATAACCCTCAGGCTGAAAGAGGTTCCTCACCCCTGGTCTAGGATCTACAACAGGTAAAGGGAAACCTTTGGCCGCACAGGTGTTTTGGATGAACTACAACTCCCATCACCCCTGGCCATAGCCCATGCTTGCTCGGGCTGATGGGAGTTGTAGTTCAGCAACATCTGCATGGCCAAAGGTTCCCCATATGTGATCCACATACAGAGCCCTGGCTTAGATTAAACCCCCTCCCCCAGCAAGTATTACAAATAGCCCTGGGAGTCGGTGGGGTGGGGGAGATAAGGAAGCTTATCTACAAGGCAGTGTTAGAAACTGAGATATCAAAGCTAGGAACTTAATGGCACCTTACACCTAGGTTATGGGCGCAACAAGGTCTAGGCGCATTTTTTTATAACAAGAATACAAAGCTGAAAATGAATGAACCGCAGCTAAAATATTAGGTTCATTTTTCACATGGTCTGGTCCTTCCCCTACCCACCCCCCTAATATTCTTAAGAGGGTCTCTTCAGAGAATAGCTGGAAGTGGGGAGGCAGAAAAAGGTCCTCTTTTCCTTCCGCTCTACAGTTTTAATCTGAAATCTTAGGCACAGTACAGTGCCCAGCACTCAGAAACTGCTTGCGCTAATGAAATTCCCTGTTGCAAAGTGCGCCTAGGACAATGTGAGTTTTGAACACTGCTACAAGGGCTTGTGATTTTGGGGGAAATTACTTTGGCAGAAAGAGAGAGAAAGAAAGAGAGAGAGAGAGAGAGAGAGAGAGAGAGAGAGAGAGAGAGACTCACAGGTCGCAAACCTCATTCTGCACAAACCCCATAGAGGTGACCCACGGTGATGCAAGAGTTCATTTTGACGAGACGTATCCTGGAGGATGTCTTGGCAGATTGCACCCCGCGTTTATTATGTGGGGAGATGCAGGAAGGAATGGGGACGTTGCCCTTTAGATGATCTGCCTCAGACACCCCCCAACCCAACCCCAATGTCTTCCTGGTGGAAAAGCAGTTGCATCCAAAATCGTTCCATAACACCACATTTTCTTCCTTTTTTAATTGCCCCCCCCCTCCAGGATCAGCCACTAGTCTCAAACATGCATCGTTGCAAAGGGCGATTTGTTCCAGGCGTGACCTTTCCTTTCCGTTTTAGGTCTGTAGGTGGAGGCAGGAGGGTCTCCGGGTGATGCAGGTGGGGGGGCACACTTTCCCCCTCAGCACCATGGAGCAGAGCAAACCCCTGTCCTTCACCCCCGCCCCCCAAAGCCAGGAGGAAAGGTTTCTGGTTCTGGGCAATAAATACAGCAGGCCAAAGAGGACAATGACGACGTTGAAAAATAAAAAAGACAATCCCTATTGGAACTTTTAAATATTTTTCCTTAAAAAAAAAATCTGTTTCCCTTTGAAGCGTCCCCCAAGTGGGTCAACCCCGAAGCGGTCTCTGGGCCCTGCTCTGGCCACGGAGTCTGCTCTGCCCACGTCACCGGCAGGTGTGCATCTCTGCCACGCGGTGGCACTGTTTACACTTGACAAAGCAACACCAGTGGAACTTGCAGCTGCACCGCTCCACCACCTCCACCTCGTCCGTGTGGAAGCCTCGGCCGCAGCACATCAGCTCGCAGCCGTCGATGGCCTTGGAAGTCTTGTTGCAGTGCCTGCCGCTGGTGCCCAGGACGCCGTTCCTCAAGTCGTGCTCGCAGAAGTCAGGGCTGGAGTCCAGGTAGACCAGGTCCTCGTCCGTGTGGGGCTTGAACTGGGAGTTCTTGGGGACTAGCACCTTGGTGGAGCCCACCTTCCGCTGCTCGACCTCCGTGGCCCCGTCGAACTTCTCCTTCAGTACGTTGCCCACCTTGCGGAAGGGGGGCATGGCCTTCCAGCAGGTCTTCACCTCGCACGAGCCGGACACGCCGTGGCACTTGCACTCCACCCGCATGTGGTTCAGGATGGCCTGGGTGGGGAAGGAGCAGAAATTCATTTACAGTCATACCTCTTGTTACATCCACTTCATGTTACGTTCTTTCAGGATACGTCCTGCGGCGACCCGGAAGTACCAGAAAGGGTTACTTCCGGGTTTCGCCGCTCGCGCATGCACGCAAAATGACATCACGCGCATGCACAGAACTGATGAATCGCAACCCGTGCACGCGCAGACGCAGGTTGCATTCTGTTCATGTTGCGAACGGGGCTCCGGAACGGATCCCGTTCGCAACCAGAGGTACCACTGTACTTACAAACACGTTCCTTTCTTCCTTTCGTTCTTTAACACCCCCCCCATAAAACAAGACACGAACAACAAAGCGTCAAACGACGACAATGAGGACATGCCCGACATTTGTGACGTCTTACATCAAGGCGGCATGGCTAGCCAGGGAAGCTGAATGTTGGGAGATTCGGGGCAGGTTCATTCAGCAAATGGTTCAGCAGCAGAACCTGCTCCTGCAGGTAGCAGTGATGACCACCAGTTTGGATCAAGAGAGGATTAGACAAATTCATGGAGGGCAAGGCTAGCAATGGCTGCTAGTCACAATGTGCTGCAAGCCGCCCAGAGTGGCGAGGGAAACCCAGCCAGATGGGCAGGTTATATATATTAAAATTATTACTATTATTAAATCCGCTATCATCAACCTCCGCTGAATACCAGTTGCAGGGAATTGCAGTTAGGCAGTTAGTCCTGTTATGCTCAGATCCTGCTTGCGGGATTCCTATCAAGGGCACTTGGTTGGCTACTTTGAGAACAGGATGCCTGACTAGTTGGGCCTCCAGATCCAACAGGCTATTCTTATATTCTCAACTGTCTTTAATTGTTGTTGTTTTAAATTATATATGAAACTGTTTTTATTGCTAATGGGTTTTTCGTGTTTGTGTGAAATGGCTTCAAGATATTTCATGGAAAGAGATTTGTAAATGGAATTACACAAACTGCAAACACTTTAGGATTTTGAGGCAGGTGACATCCACTACCCATATGTCAGTGGGAGTGGGATGGGGGAAGTACTTTTGTTCTGGGGGGGGGGGGAGTAGGGGAACTCAACATGAAGCTTGTTTGTTCATTTGAGGCCCAATTGCAGTGGCATACCCAACACACCGGTAGTGTCTGATTAATGAATTCAAGCAGACAATGTTCTGGATTAGAAAGGGCCACAACTTTATTGATTACAGATATCGGTGGATTTTTGGCTCAGGCATCGGGTGTATATCCATTCCAGTCCCCCAGACACCCCAAGTTCCTTCTTACAAAACCCAACCCTTAATGGCGGAGAAATGAAATATACCAAATGTACTGAGAGTAAAAGTTAGTCCACATCTGCTTATGCTTGTCCACGGAAAGACAGAAGACACGCCCCCCCCAAACATGGCAGCTATTTTCGTTTCTTGCCAGTTTTGCAAGCTTTTTAAAATGTTGCATTGTTCACTTGGCCATGAGAGACATGGTAGGGCAACACAGTCTTAACTGACCTGATGCCCTGCCTATGTGTTGGACTACAATTCCCATCAGCCATTGCTGGCTGGAAAGAGAAGAGATGATGCAGACACACAGAGGAGGGCAACGCAGAGTGCTCATTCCTCCTCTGTCATCCGAAAGTCTTGACCAGCTGTTTCCCACACATTCAAGTTTCTCTCTGCAGGTTTAAGGGCTAGAAACTTGTTCTCTTCCAAAAGCCAGCAAGCACAGGAAGCAGTGTGTGGCTGCCCCACACCCCGGGAAGCAAGATGCACAAGCCTTCTGCTCTTACCTTCCTCCCGGCTTCGTTGTTATGAAGGTTCATGAGCGCCCTGCTGGAGGAAGCCCCTTTGCTCCTCTCCCTGACGTCAACGAAGGACTGAGAGAAGGCCACTCCGTAGGCAATGTTGTCGGAACAGCCGGACCACTGGAAGCCTAGAGCAAGGAGGCGAAGGAAAAGAAAGGGCAGCACTTACGTGGGGAGGACAGCATGACTCATTCCACAGTGCTGCAGCCCAATGGCAAGAGAGGGACTCCCTCTTTCTCCTCTGGGAGGCTACAGGGCAGGGGTGGGGGAACTCAAATGTGCCCCCCCAGGCCTCTATCTGGCCCTCAGGACTCCCCCAGGCAACATCTCCTGTCTTCAGGAGATGCCCCATAGAGGCCTTGCTCTGTGCACACCTTGATGCTTTTGCCTGCTTGAATGTGTCCTTCAATTGTGACACTGCCCTTTGCATGCCAAGGGGTGATGGAAGTTGCAGTCCACCAACAGCTGGGGAACCAAGTTTGAGAAAAGCTCATCTATGCCAACAATGGCCTTCCAGATGACGATGATAATTTTATCATTTACCGTATTTTTCGCCCCATAGGATGCACTTTTTCCCCTCCAAAAATGAAGGGGAAATGTGTGTGCGTCCTATGGGGTGAATGCAGGCTTCAGGAAGCTCTCCGCAAGCCTGCGGAGCCTGACAGAAACTTCCTCTGGGCTCCGCAGGTTTGCGGACAGCTGCCTGCAGCCCGAAGCTCAGGGAGTGCTGCGTTGCGCACCCCAGGCTTCGGGCAGCTCTCTGCAAGCCTGCGGAGCCCGGCGCAACTTCCCGCTGGGCTCCCTAGGCTTGCGGATAGCAGCCTGTTCTGGGGGCTGGGGTGGGGGAAGCTCTGGTTTCCCCCGCCCCAGCCCTGCGCCTGGGGGGGGGGAATATATTTTTTTCCTTTATTTCCCCCCCAAAAAACTAGGTGCGCCCTATGGGGCGAAAAATACGGTATATGCTGCCCATCTGACTGTGTTGCCCCAGCCACTCTGGGTGGCTTCCAGCAAAATACAAAAATACAATAAAACATCAAACATTAAAAACTTCCCTATTCAGGGTTGCCTTCAGATGTCTTCTAAAAGTCATATAGTTGTTTATCTCCTTGACATCTGACAGGAAGGCGTTCCCCACATGGCGGGCACCACTACTGAGAAGGGCCTCAACTTGGTTCGCTGTAACCTCACAGTGAGGGAACAGCCAGAAGGCCCTTGGAGATGGACCTCCATGTCTGGGCTGAACGATTGGGGTGGAGACCCTCCTTCAGGTATACTGGGCTGGGGCCGTTTAGGGCTTTAAAGGTCAGCACCAACACTTTCAATTGTGCTTGGAAACGTATTGAGAGCCAACGCAGGTCTTTTACGGCCAGTGTTATAGGGTCCTAGCTGCCGTATTCTGGATTACTTGTAGTTTCCGAGTCACCTTCAAAGGTAGCCCCATGTAGAGCGCATTGCAGATATCCTGGAATTCCAACTCCCACCAGGTCTAGCCAGCATAGTCAGTGGTGAGGGCAGATGGGAGTTGTAGTCCAGTGACATCTGGAGCAGGGAAGTTGGAGAATTCCAATGGAGGTGGCAATGGGGGCAGAAATTGCCAGCATTTGCTTATTTTGTCCCATATCCAGAAAGGAAATAAGTTGAGTGAGCAATGGCCAGGATCTCCTGCTGCTGTTGCTTTCAGTCTGCAAAACGGTGTGTAATTGCCGTTCCTTTGCACATACAGGGATTGGGGTGGAGTAGCACAACAGCAACACCATTTACATAAGCAGTTACATAATATACGCAGTTTGGGCACAGCAGACAGCACAGCAAACAACGCAACTTTGGGTGGAATGGAAACAGCTCTGCATGCGACAAACTTGGCGCAGAGCAGAAAACATCCTGACGTCCCTGCTCTGGAGGGCTGTCGGCCGCCCAGCCCTTCAGTGGTCCTACCTCCACCCCCTGAACTCCCACTCATGTACTTACCCTGAGGGCTGACCCCATGGACCGTGCGGTCGCACCCGCATTTGTCGAGTTCCCCGCTGCTGCATGCCCTCGTCACGGCAAAGGCAACACCAGCGGAGGAAATTGCATACACAAAGGCGGCCTCCCGCGTCCCTGGTGGAGAAAGCAGAGAAGAATAATAGAATTGTGGCATTGAAAAGGGACCCAAGGTATCATCTAGTCCAGGCTTCCTCAGACTCATCCCTCCAGATGTTTTGAGACTACAATTCCCAACATCCCTGACCACCGGTCCTGCTAGCTAGGGATCATGGGAGCTGTAGGCCAAAAACATCTGGAGGGCTGAGTTTGAGGAAGCCTGATCTAGTCCAACCCGCAAAAGAGGCACGAGTTAGTGCATATCCTGTGCTTGGGTGAGTGGAACTCAGCAGTGTTTTAGGGGACAAACCTACATGTTACACGGATCTGGCCAAATGGCTCATTGCTCTGTACAAGCCCTTCACCAACCTGGTGCCCTCCAGATGTGTCGTACTGATAGGAGCTGTAGACCAGAACATCTGGAGGACAGCAAGCTGGCAAAAGCTGTTCTGCACAAAACCTGCTTGTTTATCTGCTTATCTCTCTGCTTGCTGTTCATCTTTGCATTGCTGCTCTTGGGAGAAAGATCCACAGCCCCCTTTTGAAAACAAAACAAAGCATGTCGAGCAATGGAGATGCACAGAGATGCAGTCTGTGGGTAAAATTGAGGTTTATTTATTTACTTAACCTCAGTTTTACCCAGGGACTGCATCTCTGTGCAAGAAAGACCATCTTCAGGTGAATTGCTCCTAAAAGGCACTAGAACTTCAGTCTGCACAAAAAGACAACTCTACCCAAACCTCTGAGTCCATTGGCCCCTTAATGAGCAAACATAATAATAATAATAATAATAATAATAATAATAAATTTATACCCTGCCCATCTGGCTGGGTTTCCCCAGCCACTCTGGATGGCTCCTAACAGAATATTAAAAACATGATAAAACATCAAACATTTAAAACTTCCATAAACAGGGCTTGCCATGAGCCCCAAATTCTTAGGAAGGCAAATAAAACAAAGTCAACAAATATCAGTATATGGCCAGCTTCTATTAATCATCAAATCACTTTGCTTTTATATGGGAAATGGTGGTGGTAGAATTTTTTCTTCCGACACTATAAAAAAAATGAAACTGCAGCAGCCTCAAAATGTAGTTGTATTGTGGAATATTCGTATACAGAGGTTCCTCATTGGCAAAGGAAGTGAACTCTTTATTTCTGAGGCTCATGGTTCATTCATTAGTATTGCAGCATCCCTTGTGAACTAGGGGTAGCTGGGGCTCATCAACCTGGGAAGGTAGCTCATCTAGGAGAAGGGAAACTCTGATCTGAACCTCCGCTGCCTTGCGGGATATCTTCGGGAGAAGAAAAGGCTACGGAATAAACCCGACACAAATCGGGAGTGGACTCCCTAAGACGGTTGGATGGCACCTTGTACGCCTCCTTCCGGCAACTCCTGCAGCCAAGCTGGTGCCAAACACATTGCACTGCTTTCCTTGGGACCACATTAGTGAGACCGAGAAGGGGGTCTTGTTGTCTGGGCAGCCCAGGACCTCCACGCTTGCACCCTGGGGAGGTCACTTCTATGTTGCTAACACGGCAGTTTGACGTCACCCAAAGAGGCGCACTCCATCGTCTCTACACCACAAGCCAGTGTGGTGTAGTGGTTAAGAGCGGTAGTCTTGTAATCTGGTGAACCGGGTTCGCGTCTCCGCTCCTCCACATGCAGCTGCTGGATGAACTTGGGCCAGTCACACTTCTCTGAAGTCTCTCAGCCCCACTCACCTCACAGAGTGTTTGTTGTGGGGGAGGAAGGGAAAGGAGATTGTTAGCCGCTTTGAGACTCCTTCGGGTAGTGATAAAGCGGGATATCAAATCCAAACTCTTCTTCTTCTTCAAGACAGATGGATGTCAACAACAATACCTTGTGAACTGCTTTTTCATGCCAGCCTCTTTTCGAACCCTAGGTCTGCTTTCACTCCTGGCACAGTCCCATCGACCCGGGGGGGGGGGCAATGCCAACCGCTTTGGGAAACAAGTGTTCTGACAGTTCCTAACTCTATTCCTTGCTAACTCTTAAACCAGGAGCCAGCAAACTTTTTCAGCCGGGGCCCGTTCCACTGTCCCTCTGACCTTGTGGGGGGCTGGACTATTTTTTTGGGGGGGGGGGGGATGAACAAATTCCTATGCCCCACAAATAACCCAGAGATGCATTTTAAATAAAAGGACATATTCTACTCATGTAAAAACATGTTGATTCCTGGACCGTCCGCGGGCTGATTTAGAAGGCGAATAGGCCGCATCCAGACCCCGGGCCTTAGTTTGCCTACCCGTGTCTTAAACCTTTCCTTCTCTACCATGGTTCCAGACCCAGCCTGTATGCTTACTTGCTGAGTCAGTATTTGAACCCGTGCGGTTCCAATTAAAGCCTAGCAAGGAAAATTAAACACACACACACACACACACACACACACACACACCCCTGTCCGAAACTCCTCTCAGGAGAGTCCAAACTCCTCTCTAATACTCTTTCTGCTCTGCTCCCAGGCTGGGAACATCTACCAAGCCAGGCTGAGAACTCCTCTTATTGCTTTCTCTCTGCAACTCTGCAAAAGCAGGGGGTGGAGGAAGAGAAGAAGAAGAAGAGGTGAAGCTATGTTGGTGGCTGTGTGTGTTCTTCTCGCTACCTCCCCCCCCCCCCCCGTCACCCTCATGTGGGTAGGTGCATGCGGGTGGAGTTAACGAAAGAGGAATATTGGTTTAGCAGTTCTCAATTATGTCTTGCAACACTCCGTCCCTGCCAAGGGGTGGTTAGACTGGAACAGACCCTTCTGTCTTGGAAGATCCTGGCACAGGCCCCACTGAGAGGCCTTTGCTTCATTCTCACAGCCCCAAACAGCCAGCAGGGAAGGACACAAATGCCCTTGAACACACACACACACACACACACACACACACACACTCCAATCCCAGAGCCTCAACAGGAGAGAGGGGTGTCTGGGAAGGGGGGGTGGGCGCAGAGAAATAAAACGTCCCGGCGGTCAGGACGGCTCAGGCACCAGAGACTCAAAGCAACCGAGCGACCTCCGAGTTAATCGAGGTTAATAGCAGGCCTAGCGTCCGTGGGTTTCGCTCTGTGGCCGCCCGAGAGGGAGACGACTTCACTCGCTGGTATTTCTGGCATTTCCAGGGCGAAACCTTTGCAAGCACAAATCTGCAGCCCTGCTCTGAAGACGGCCGGAGGAAAGTTAAATAAGGAGGCGCAGCGGTGGCGAGGATGGCAACCTGAGTGTGGGTGGGTAGCTGTAAGGTGGGGGGCAGTTCACAGAGAACGGCAGAGGCCTCTGGGTTGTTGTTTTGTGTGTGTGTGTGTGTGTGGTGTGTGTATATAACTGAGCACCTGAAGGATGCCCCCAAACCAATCCCAGACCTTAATCCTGGACCTCTGAACCCTTGTACAAATTCATGGGAGGATGAATGGTCTGATTTGGTGGCTATCAGCTGTGCCGGTGAAACAGAACCTCCACACCCAGGTGCAGTCTACCTTGGAATCCAGAGTGCTGCAAAGAGGCGACAGGAGGAGTCTGCCGCCTTCGTGCCCCGCTTGTGAGCCCCTTTCCCAGAGGATCCTGCGCACCTGAACTATGAGACTCCTGAGCGGGGGGGAGGGGACCTACCTTGTGGGCCCGCATGTGTTGCTGGACTCCAATTCCCACCAGCCTCATTCAGCAGGGACAATGGCTGGAGATGCTTGAATATTAATCCTGCCTATCTTCAACTTTGTAATGCATAGGACTCCAGCAAAACTTTGCCAGAAGGAAATAACAAATGCAGACAACTGCTGGAGATGTGGAAGTAAAAATGCAAACTTAGTACATATCATGATTAACTGCCCGATGATAAGATCATTTTGGTACGAGGTGAGGAGATATATAGCAAGAGTAATAAAAAGAAATTGTTATTTAGGGGATTTGAATTTAATTCTAAATTATATACCGAAAACGTCGGAGATTACAAGGGGTCAAAAAAAAATGGATGTACCGTGCCATGTTAGAAGCAAAGAAACTTGTTCTGATGAATTGGAAGAGCCGCAAAAAGATCCCATTGAGCACATGGATTGACAATATGGATAGACTAGTTACATACGAACAAATTGCATATCGATGCAAATTAAGAATGGATAAATATGAAGAAATCTGGAAGGAATACTTAAGTGATAAGGCGGAAAGTGGTGGGAAGTAGGGGGAGGAGAGGTGGGGAAATATTGTCAAGAAGGTGTAGTTATAGGTATATCAGTACTCAAATATGAATTGTTAAATTGTGTTATTAGTGTTATTGTGGTTTTTGTTGTATGTGTTTTTTGTGGTTGCTGTTTGTACTGAAAAAATGATTAAATAATTTTTTTTTAAAAAAACCCCTTTGTAATGCATAATGCTGGTATGGTTGGTCAGTTACGTATCCTACGCATTGAATTGCATTATTTATTTATTTTTTAAAAAACGATTTTAACTGTGAATCACCACCTTGAAGGCCGGGGTGGGGGGCGCGGCGCTTTGGCCCTGAAAGCCTTTACAGAAGTATGCCTCCCCCCTAATACATATAAACTTTCCTCCCAATCTTGCTATGTCCCAGATGTCTGCATCTCTCCTAAACAACCTGCTTCTTTAAAACAGGATAGCTGTTGCCTGAGTCAGACCATTGCTTAGAACTGGGCGATATCAGCTTTTCAACATTGCGGTGCATCGCCAGCCAAACATCGCAGTTTGGCGATATACTGCGATGTTGCAAAAACAAGATGCACGGGCCTCTGCCCAAGAGACACTGGGTGAAACTGCCCTAGTTCTCACCTCAAGGCAGTTTTCCCCAGGCTTGCAGGCTGGGATAATGCAGTTTGTTCGCACTGCTCAACTGGAGGGAGGGAAGGTTCCCCCCCCCATCTGAAATAGCCCCAGTGCTCTTGCCGCTTATGCGTGAACCGCAAGAACATCAGGGCTCCTTTAACTGCTCAGTGCGAGGTGCAGCAACCACACTCTCCCCAGCTTAGCAGTTTCACAGAGCCCCCACCCTGCTGCCAGCTTGCGGGAGCCAGTGCCGGGCTGGGGGCTCCTTTAACTGATCGACTGAGGCAAGGGCAGCTGAACACTCCTCAGTTGAGCAGTTTAAAGATACAGAGGGAGGAACAAGCTGTATCAGCACCTCGCCAATACAGCTTGTTTCTCCCTCTCTGTCGTATGAGGGCAGAGTCTGATGGCGGTTTCACTCAGCGATATATCGCTGCTGAAACCGCCGCCGCTTCTGAGTCCCTCTGCTAGCAGCGCTGCTGGAGGAAGGAACTCTCGCAGACACTGTTCGCACAGGGAATCGGGAGAGGTGGCGAATTCCCCAGTGATATACAGTGGTACCTCGGGTTACATACGCTTCAGGTTACAGACTGCACTAACCCAGAAACAGTACCCCGGGTTAAGAACTTTGCTTTAGGATGAGAACAGAAATCATGCTCCGGCAGCACGGCAGCAGCAGGAGGCCCCATTAGCTAAAGTGATGCTTCAGGTTAAGAACAGTTTCAGGTTAAGAACAGACCTCCGGAACAAATTAAGTACTTAACCCGAGGTACCACTGTACTGCTGAGTGAAACCGACATCGTGGTCTGCTCCTCATACTGGTCCTGGGCAATATATTGATGTATCGCCCAGGCCTACCATTGGTCCAGCTATTTCATATTTTCCACACTGACTGACTGCCACTCTCCAAGGTTTCTGGCAGGGGACATTTCCAGCTCTACCTGGAAACAACAAGGATTGAGCCTGGGAGCCATTGCAAGCAAACCAGGTGCTTTTACAACTGTGCCATGGTCCTTCTGTTAATAAAAAGCCAAGACGCCGGTCCTCATGATTCTGAGAAAAGCTTGCTTAAATAGGGAGACGCCTCACCCCAAGGCAGACCATCGGGCCGATCTAGCTCACCGACTTGCGACAACTCTCCAGGGTTGTTGAACAGGGGTATCTCCCAGCCTGGGGACTGAACACAGAACTTTCTGCATGCAAAGGGGGAGGCTCTGTCACTGAGTTATGTCCCTCCCACTACCCAGGGAACCTTCTGCATGTGGCCCAATGCACCAAAAGGGGAGTAAAGGCCACCTCACCAAAAGGGGGGAAACCTCACCTTGTGTCACCACTTTCCCAAAGACCGGCAGGCTGTCCAGCATGGAGCAGTTCCAACGGCGGTTGCGGAACTGGAACTGGCACTCCTCAATGGCCAGCTGTGCCCCCCGGCGCACCGAGTCCATGACCTCCAAGTTCCTCTTGCACATCTGCACCTGCCGCTGGATCAGACCCTTCAGCTTCTCGCAGGTCTCTTCCTCAGAGATACTTCCCACAGAAGACAGCTTTGCCAAATATCTGCTAGGACGATATGGGGATGGGGAGAGAAGGGAGGAGGAACAAGGACAACAATGAAGTTAGCAGTGGATCCCGGCCACCTAACAGCAAACCCAGTAGCCAAGGACCAAACTGCAGGTTCATTGCATTTTTTTTGCACTGAGCATGCAGGTTTTAAGAAATGCAAATAGCAGCAGGGGTGTAAAGATCATTTAACCCTTTCCTCCATTGCTGTGGCCCAACGGCTTTGCCTACAGAAGGTCTCAGGTCTGATCCCTGGAATCACAGAATCACAGAACTGGAAGGGCACCCCAGGGGTCATCTAGCACAAACCCCAGTAATCTTCATGGAGGAGTGGGATATATATACTCTGAAGTGGGGGCAGAGAACCTTTTCAGCTCCACGGGCCAGGAGCATATCAGGATCGGCCTCCTGAGGCCAAATTTGACAAGTGGGTGGGGCTGCTCAGCTGTCAATCAACTGATGTCCCAAATGACATCAGGTGCAAGGTGCTCTGAAGTCCTCAAGTTTTTTTTTTGTTTTTATTTTTGCATGGAATCTTGCAAAACTGAGCAGGATTCAAACCCCGGCCCATCAGGTCTTGAGCAAAAAGGGGTTAAATCCTGCTGTGTTGGCTGCATGCCCCATCTGTTCCCTAAGGGAAAAAGGTGCACGCATCCAATGCAGGGTTTAACCTTGCCCTCCTGCCCATCAGATGACATCACAAACCAAGTCAGCTGATGGGCAGGCGAGGTTTGTGGTTTCTGACAAATGGCCTCAGGGCTTTCCAAGATGGGCCCATGGGATGGAGGTACCCCATCCTGCCAAAGGGAGTTATAGCAATAATGATCTGAATCGTAACAGACAGGAGGGGTTCATAACCGTTGCTGCAATCCAGATGAAAATCCCTTATTTGAAGGTATTGCTTGCTTTGCGGGGAGAACCCTTTCCCCTTTCCCCCTTCCCTATCTGTTGTGATTCTGATAATTATCAGTATATCCGCTGCCTCATCTGATGCTCTTTTGCATTTCCCCCCAAAACTTGCACATTAAATGCAAATGCACCCATAACGTCACGTCTGCTTTGGCCCCCAACTCTTGTCCGTACAACTTCATTCTCTTTAATATACCACCCATATTTTGCTCAAAGAGCTCCCCATGGTGGCTAGCCACATCAGATCATTCAAAACTCTAGTAAAATACATTGGAAATACTCACGAAAAGAAAAGAACAATCCACAAAACAGCAGCAGGAAAACGAAACAGCAGCCGTGGCTACTCCATCTCTGACCCTGCCTCCAAACGCTTAGTGAAAAGAAGCTGCCTCCACCAGCTTTGAAAAGGTTAAAATAAAAGTGAGTCACATACATCACGTTGCCTAAAGAATCCTGGGAACTGTAGTTTACCCCACACAGAGCTACAACTCCCAGCACTCTGATCAAACTACAGTTCCCAGGATTCTTTGGGGGAAATGATGTGCTCTAAGTGTGCTTGAAATATATGGGGTGTGTGCAGCCATCTCACATTTTGCTGCTTAGCATGAAAGAACATAGGAAGCTGCCTTAGACGGAGTCATCCTGTTAGTCCATCTAGTCCAGTAATGCCTACACTGACTGGCAGTGGCACTCCAAGGTTTTGGGTAGGGGCCTCACCCAGCCCAGCTAGAGATGCCGAGGATTGAACCTGGGGCTCTTTTGCTTGCAAAGCGGGGCCCTGCCGCTGAGAAACAGCCTTTCTGCACTGCAAATACATGCAAAGTGGTACCTTGGTTCTCAAACGCCTTGGTTCCCAAATACTGAAAACTCGGAAGTAAGCGTTCCAGTTTTCAAATATTTTTTGGAAGCCGAAGGCCGATGCGGCTGTCGGCTATTGTTTCCGGGGCACCTGCACCAATCAGAAGCTGCGCCTTGGTTTTTGAACATTTCAAAAGTCAAATAGATTTCCAGAATGGATTAAGTGTTGTGCTTTTGCTATTTATTTTGCATTTTTGTTTTTGAGGCTTTTTCGGTTAATTTGTTTTTGTGACTGTGTGGAACCCAGTTCAGCTACTGATTGATTGTGTGACTGCAGAAATGGATAAAATCCCCCCATCCAAACAATGACTATCATCAGTGCAGGTAAGGGAATTTTTTTTTTTTATCATCTACAATACTGTCTTATTTATTTTATAGTATAGTACATTGATTATTACTGCTTTCATGTTATGGATCAATGGTTTTGTTAGATAGTAAAATTGATGTTAAATTGCTGTTTTTAAAAGTCTGGAACGGATAAATCTGTTTTGCATTACTTTCTATGGGAAAGCGCTCCTTGGTTTTGGAACACTTTGGTTTTGGAACAGACTTCCTGAAGGTTTGAGAACCAAGGTACCACTGTATAGAGGTTGACTCAACTGGCAGCTAAATGCTACCCCCAGGACTTGCAGTGAGACAGCCTGCTCCACTGCACCCAGGCAAGCGGGGTAACTTAGGGAATAAAGGCCACACACCTCTCACTTCAGACACCAAGATGCTATTGCCTGTCCACCCCCTGCCAACACCCAGTGCTTGCATTTGCCTAACAGCAGGGCCAGCTCTGCAAAGAGTTTTCCATGGGGATGGGCACCTGACCAGTCACCCCAAAAAGATTTCATCAGCTCCCCACGCTTAAACCATTACTGTCACAAGAACGAAAGAGAAGTTCCAAAAGCAAAGATTACGATAGCTACCCACCAAGGAAGCGGATCGCTGTGAAACCACGACAATTTCTTTTTGACAAATAAAAAGTTGCAAATTGTTTTATTGCATTTTCATTCTGCCATTCCCCGCACGCCACTGAAAAACCTCGAGCTGACATACACAGTTCCTTCCATTTTGCCCTCGCAACAATTCTAAGAGGTAAGGCGAAGCCCTGAATGTATGACTGGCCCAACATCACCTTGGCTGGGCAAGCACTTGAACCCGGATCTCGCTGATGCTAGGATGACCTTTTGCTGATTAGGTCACCCTTGCCTTTCCCCCCTGGGTAACTGGAGAGGCCTGCCACAATCCTGCACCCTGCTTGCGTGAAAGTAAACCCCACTGAACTCAATGGGACTTACTTCTGAAGAGCTGTGAACAGGATTGCATCATGAGCCAGGAAGTGAAGCACTTTGTGGATGCCAGGAATCTCCCCAGCAAATTGCCCTCGCTGCTCTGCTTCCTAACAAATGACTGTCATGAAATAAAAAAGGAAGACTAACACCAACACCATGGCGCTCTTTTAATCCAGGGATGGGGAACCTCACACCCAGGAGCCAAATGTGGCCCTCCAAACCTCTGTCTGGCCCTTGAGAGTCTCAGCAGGCCACACCTTCTTGCAACCCTGCATTTCACTCTTCTGGAGTGTTTTCTGCCTAGTTGGAAGGTGTCCTTCAACTCTCATAATGAAAATATCATTCCCCACCAACCTTCTCCGTCCCTCTTTCTCCCCCCCCCCTTTGCCCCCAACGTCTATGAAAATAGTGTCTCATACTGAATGCATACAAACTGAAAAAAAGACTCTATGGCTTGAAAGTGGAGACGCAATACAGTGGTACCTCGGGTTAAGTACTTAATTCGTTCCTGAGGTCTGTTCTTAACCTGAAACTGTTCTTAACCTGAAGCACCACTTTAGCTAATGGGGCTCCCGCTGCCGCCGCGCCACCGGAGCACGATGTCTGTTCTCATCCTGAAGCAAAGTTCCTAACCCGAGGTATTATTTCTGGGTTAGTGGAGTCTGTAACCTGAAGCGTATGTAACCTGAAGCGTATGTAACCCGAGGTACCACTGTATGTACTTTCTCTTGTTTATTTGTTTGTTTTGTACCACAAATCTTTAATAAAAAATAATGCTTATTGCTTCCCTGGATAGAGAGGAGGAGTGTGTGTAGAACCTAGCTTAGGTAAAGGTAAAGGGACCCCTGACCGTTAGGTCCAGTCACGGACGACTCTGGGGTTGTGGCGCTCATCTTGCTCTATAGGCCGAGGGAGCCGGCGTACAGCTCCCGGGTCATGTGGCCAGCATGACTAAGCCGCTTCTGGCAAACCAGAGCAGCGCACGGAAATGCCGTTTACCTTCCCGCTGGAGCGGTACCTATTTATCTACTTGCACTTTGATGTGCTTTCGAACTGCTAGGTTCGCAGGAGCAGGGACCGAGCACCGGGAGCTCACCCCTTCACAGGGATTCGAACTGCCAACCTTCTGATCGGCAAGTCCTAGGCTCTGTGGTTTAACCCACAGCGCCACCGCGTCCCTTAGAAACCAGCTTAGTGTACAGAATAATATTTGCATCCATTGCTCCACCCACTTTGGGTCTCTGCTGCTGCCTACCACTGGCTTGTGGCCCTTGAAAGGTTGCGCAGAAAGGGATGTGGCCCCCGGGCTGAAAACGCACCTCAGCCCTTGGCTAGTCAACTCATTTCATGGGCTTCCTTTTACAAAGCAGAAATAGACCCAAGCTTCCTACTTCCTCTTGCCACGGGATAGTGGCCTGACTCAACTCGAGTTCAAAAAGCTGTTGCAAGAGCTAGATGCTTTTGCAAAGACATCACCCTGCTTTGAGCACTGGCCCATCGCTGTTTTGCTGGTCTTGCCAGCTCCCCTTGTACTTCACCTCTTTGGGTGCTAGAGGGCGCCAGGATCCCTTCCCCGAACATCCCGCAGGCCCCAGAAGTCAAGAGGTGTAGCTTTTACGTTCCACCCCGAAGTATGCAAAAGAAAGTGTATTTGCACGACACGCTCCTGTCCTAGAATGCCATTCCTAAGCATCACACACTATTCCAAACTGCGCCGCTTTCAGCGCTCTGCTGGTTAGGAAGAAATTCAATTCTGTCCACATTTAAAAGCGAAGCTACTGAATTTACACTTTCTGAAACAACACACAAAGAGAAATGCACACTTCTAAATGCACACGCCTCCAGACTTTGCAGTGTAGTTCTCCAGCCAAGTAATGCATGCAAAATATATATAGGCAACAGTCAAGTGTGCATAAAAATGCATATATTATTGAAAACGGCATTGGAAAATGCATTGGGGCGCATTCAGCTAAACTGGTGCACTAGTAGAAGCCACAGCAAGGGTTCTTGCTAGTGCGGTGGGGATTTCCCCTCTTCTCCCCACACATATCCCCCCAAATCTGCTTTGGAGAGTCAGGAGAAGCCCCAGAACAGCACACAAAGGATTGTTCTGCCTGGCAAGCACAAATTCTTGTGCTAATGGAACAACCAGAGGACTATGACACTCAATTCCTCCCATTACATTAGGGAAAATTGCTTTGCAAAACACGTGTATAATTACTCAAGCTTGCATGCAAACATGTGTCCATTAGGAGGAATCCAAACTGAGTTGCTGACGAATTTTTTGTGTGGACCCCCCCCCCCCCCGTCTTTTAATCACAATCCAGCGTGGAAACATAAAGAATGGAACTTAGCAGCGGAGAATGGGACCCGAAACGGAGAGATTTCACTTATCCCTAGCTGCTACTGTACACAAGATGTACACATGGGCTTGGAGGTATTCCCTCCTCTCCCTGCCTCTTCTCCCTCCCCCCCCCCGGCCTGGGAGCCTGCTGCTCTCCGGAGCTCAACAGCTGTCCTTTGTCTCTCCAGAATGGAGAGGGATAGGACTTGCCCTGTCAGGGCTGAGGAGTCACAGTGTATCCAAGGGCTATTAGGAGAAGCCAAAGTGGTGGAGAGCCGGCCAAAGTCAGCACAGCGAAGGACACTGGCTGCCAGCGCTGGCTGCCACAACCCTCCCTCAGCACGGGCAGCGTTCTGATCACCAGAGGCTCCCTCAAAACCACTTCCCTCCTGAAGGCCAGGCGGAGCTTTTCCTGGCTCCCTGTTCTCTTCACAGAGTCAGGCCTTTCAACCACTGGGCAAGCCAGGCTGCACCGCCAGGAGAAGCTCAAGATTTGGGCAGAAAAATAGAAGGCCCCATATAGTGTGAGGCCCAAGTTGCTCGAGAGGCTGCCTTGCTCCTTACAGACCCAGGAAGTGACAGGGGAGAGTCCCTCCTTCGTCCCCTCTGCCACCCCCCCAAGACTGGAAGCCCACCCAAATTAACTCGGTGCAGGGCTTTCATTGTGGCTGCCCCCGTATCTCTGCTGAGATACGACAAGCAGAAGCATTTCAAGACATATTTGTTTGTTCTTTTGATCAGGCATTTCCAGGTGGGTGGAAAGGTATTTTCTGTGGTCTGTGCTGATTTTTTAACCAGCCTTTTTTGGGGGGGGGGCAATGTTTTCCCTAAGCATTTGTAGATGATTTCATGGTGTTTGTGTGGAGGTTGCTTTGAGACTCATGTAGAAGACTCCTTAAGCTAGTTGAGTAATGAGAAGAAAGCTGATTGGCAACAATGCTTGCATCCATCTGGCGCCGTGAGGTTGGCACAGACTGGCAGTGGTCCTCTGGTATTTCAAGCAAAGGACATTCCCAGCCCTGCCTAGAGATGGCCATTGGGGATTGACCCAAGCTCCTTATTCCTGCAAAACAGATGCCCTTTACCACAGGGTCCCAGCCCCAGCTGAAGCCTTTTGCAGACTAACCCACTGGGGACTGGGCACATCCTGTGGGGTCCCTGAGGCCCCAACCACCTCCAAGTCTCTCCCTCCTCTCTTCCAAGCCAAGCTGGGAGGTGGGGGAAGCAGCCTAAGGAGATGCCTCCTCCATGTTTGGTTGTGAGAAGAAGCAACTTGGGATGGAATGGGACCAAGCCAGAAGAAGCCTTCAAACGACAGAGAGCTCAGTCCATCCACCCATTGACACCTCCAGCTCCTTCTGTCTGCCTGACTTGTTTGCTTTAAAAAATAAAATAAAAGTAACTCTTGGGAACCATTGCTCTTCCTCTTGCAGCCAAACATGGAACAGAGGAAGCTGCCTTATATTGAGCCAGACCATTGGTCCATCTAGATCTCAGTATCACTCACTGGTTGTGTCTCTCCAGAGTTCCAGACTGGGATCTCTCCCAGTCCTACCTGCAGATGTTGGGGGTTGAAGTTGGGACCTTCTAGACTCGTAGAGTTGGAAGGGATCCTGAGGATCATCTGGTCCAATCCCCTGCAATGCAGGAATATGCAGGTGTCACTTACGGGGATCGAACCTGCAACCTTGGCATTATCAGACCACACTCTAACCAGCTGAGCCATCCAGATGCTGTATCCACAGCTCTTCCTCAAACATGCTATGGATTCTCCCCATTCCAAAGCCCGCCACCAAACAGTAGCCGTTCTCTGCTGGCTCCAACTGTACTCTGAACGGTGCATGGCCCACCCTAGAAATATCTCCATTCCTCGCCCTTGGTGATGGCTTTGCTGATTGTTCCGTAGCCGTAATGCCCACCAGAAGCTGAAGGGGCAGCAGCATTCTCTGCACTTCTGACTTCCCTTTCCACAGGGTCCATATCAATCTTCTTGGCTGTCGGAGGCATCAGAAATTTGTCAATTTCACATAAGAATCTGGTGGCCTCTTTTAAGGTGGACACGTGGACCGGCCATGCTGAGCCCATTGCGCAATCTCGAGTTCATCATTACTTACTCTAACTGGCAGCAGTTCTCCATGGTCTCAGGTCACCTGTTATTTGGCCCTTTTAAACAGCAGATGCTGAAAACTGAGCCTGAAAGACCTTTCTTCTCCAAGTTACAGCGTCTCCAAATGGAGCAGCTTTGATGGGGGCAGGCATGCTTTTCTGAGATATAACTCATTTTTTTTCTAGCAAAGGGGTTTCTTTCTTTTTTTGCTGGATATTAGGGGTGAAGCAGAAATTCAATTCAGTTTGAATTTTTAATAAATATATATATTAGCTTTTGAATTACAGTCATACCTTGGAAGTCGAATGGAATCCATTCCTGCAATCCGTTCGACTTCCAAAACATTCGAAAACCAAAGTGTGGCTTCTGATTGGCTGCAAGAAGCTCCTGCAGCCAATCGGAAGCTGTGGAAGCCCTGTCGGATATTCGGCTTCCAAAAATAGTTCGCAAACTGGAACAGTCACTTCCAGATTTGCGGCATTCGGGAGCCAAAACACTCAGGAACTAAGTTGTTCAAAAAAAACCAAGGTACTACTGTATTATTGATCCACAAAGACCAATAAGCAATAGCAAAAATTCAATAATATGCCCAACTAAAGGCAGATATAGGAATCAAAAACGTATCAAATAATAACACCCCATCTAAAATCATGACAACTGTATTTCTCTAGATGACATAGGGAGGGAGTTCAGTTTGCATTTAAAGGCAAACATCTCTAATTTACACTTTCTGAATCAACACCCAAAGCATCCTTTGAAACCCACACTTCTGGGAATTTTGCAAGGCAGCTCTCCAGTCCCAAGCAGCGTGTACACAAAAACACCTACTATGGTAAAGTGTGCCTATAGAGGCCTATATTCGTGGGGGGGGGGGAACGCATCGCATTAGGAGAAATTGCTTTGCAATGATGTGAACATCAGGCAAAATTGCGCACAAAAAATTGCGTCTCTCAGCAGAAATTCACATTGTAATGCCGGTGGTTTCTCACAGTTTAAAAAAAATGCAAACTGAGATGGAAATGTGGAGAACTGACCTTAAGAATGGGGGAAATGAGAAAGAGGAAGAAGTCAAAGTGGACAGTTTTGCCCATTCATACTATATATGCACCATCAGCAAGCAGTCACAAGACTGGACCTTTGGAATGCCAAAATCTGGCTCATGGCTCTTTCAGCAGTCCTCTTCTGCCCATGACCAACCTGCCGGAAATCCCAGATGCCCCCTATTGCCCAGATGTGGAACTGCAGCCTTCTAGACATAGTTGGACAAGCCAGCATGGCCAATGTACGACCAAAGATGCTGGAAATTGTAGGCCAAGTGATACCTAGCGTGCCGTGGATCCCCACCCCCCACTAGCTGTGTCCTACAGCCTCTGCAGTCCCTTTCCCAAGACCATGTTGCAAGCAGCATAAGATATCCCCAGCGGCAGCAGTAAGAGGTGCCAGGGAAGCATGAGAGAATTCCAGTTGGCAATGGACGAGAGCGCCCGTTCAAAGGCCCAAGATATTTCCCAGATCTTTCCAGATGATGGGAGCATCCGAAACTCAAGCGGAGGAGGAGCCCTTTCAAACGTTTCCAAAACAGATTCTCCCGATAAGAGCCTTCCCAAACAAACACTCATTGCGGCTCCAGAGGATGAAAATGAAGATAAGGCGTGTGGTTTCAGCGATAGAGTGGAGCGTCATGGCATCGGCTCCAGAAATACAGCTGCCAGATGTTGCTCCTTGCAGCTCTCACACCAGTCCCAGGGCCTCTCCTGGACTCCGCAAAAATGTCTTAAATAGGTGCCCCAGAGACTCTAATGATATCCCAGTCGCGGACCCAAAGAGCCTTACATTTAACTCATCTGGTCACCATAGACGACCAAGGATTCTCTGAAGGCATAGTGGATATTGAGCATGGAAACCAGCCTTGTAAATTAAACCTGCAAAAATTACTAGCCCGTAACACACCCACCCCTTTTATTGATTTATTAACAAGTGCAAAAATAACAAAGAATCCAAAATTTAAACTACAAAGCGCCATCGCCTGGAAGGATGAAAGTACAAAGATCCAGCACAGCTCCTATGGGAGAATAAACTCATACAAAGATTCCCTTTACAAATATAAAAAATAAAAGTATTATCCATTATTATTGAGAATAAAGGTTCTATGTAGTTAGAGAAGGTTCTGTATAGCCTTAGAAGAGCCAGACATCTAAGCCATATTCATTAGCTTCAGCGGGACTACTCTGAGTAAGACTAGCATTTCCTGCAACCCTTAAAACCCATTGCACAAACCTTTAAATATAAATATTCATGCTGTTGACATGATCTATGAGTTTTATGACATTTATATGCCCTCATCTTAGCCAAAAAGGCTCTCAGAGCAGCTTGCAGAAATCAGTTCTCTCAGGCTGACAATTTAAAAAGACATAACACACGAGGAAAAAGGAATGGAAGGGAGGAGGAAGCAAGAAAGCATTGGCCCAAGCTCTTAAAGTTACAGTTCTTATAACACAAGACTTCACACTGCAAGTACTTATTTATATAATTTTAAATGAGCTCCGTTATTTTTTGCAGCTATTCCCATATAAAGCAAATGTGTGAACGGTCCAGTATAATTTTTACTGTTTTGATGGCATGTTGCAGAATTCACCTGCAAAAACAAAGCCCAGTATGAAGAGACTCACAAATCAATCCCTCCTGAAGTATTTCCCCTTTGAATGAAAAACAAGCAGTGCAGCAAGAATTACAGCCGACTTAAGTCTTACTCAGGGTAGATGCATTGCAATTAGTGAACCTAAGTTAGAACCACAGAACTGTAGGGTTGGGTCCATGCAATGCAGGTTAGTCCTGACCACGGATTTCAGCGGGTCTACTCTGGGTAAAAAAAAAAAAAAGGATGCGGGTGGCACTGTGATCTAAACCACAGAGCCTGGGGCTTGCCGATCAGAAGGTCGGCGGTTCGAATCCCCATGATGGGGTGAGCTCCCGTTGCTCGGTCCCAGCTCCTGCCAACCTAGCAGTTTGAAAGCATGTCAAAGTGCAAGTAGATAAATAGGTACCACTCCAGCGGGAAGGTAAATGGCGTTTCTTTGCATTGCTCTGGTTCGCCAGAAGCGGCTTAGTCATGCTGGCCACATGACCCGGAAGCTGTACGCCGGCTCCCTCGGCCAATAAAGCGAGATGAGTGCCGCAACCCCAGAATCGGCCACGACTGGACCTAATGGTCAGGGGTCCCTTTACCTTTACTCTGGGTAACTCTAGCACCAGATGCAACTCTTGCATGTTCTAGCTTAACCTGCAGTAAGCTTTCAGCCGTGTGGCAAAAGTAATGTAAGGGGGTGGAGAATAGCTTTTGCAGGTCAGTTAAAATCTGGTGCTTATGCAGGTAGGAGCAGGTAAAAGTAGGATTGTGGAGTGGGGAGGGAGAGGAGAGGAGAAATAAATTGCAGAGAAAAGAGGAGAGATTTTCAGGGGAACATTGTTTTGAGACTAGAGTCGGTTAGTTCCCTCTAGGCCGAATTCGCTCACGCCAATTGGAGGGGGGGGGGAATGCGAGCAGCGACACGTCCCGTGAGCTTTTCGCTGTCTGACAGCTTGACAGGTTCTCCTCCCTTTCTTTATGGACAACAAACAAAATAAATGTTCTGCGGCTTCTCAGGTTTAGGAGAGTCCAAACAGAGAGAGGGAGGCAGGGAGGGAGAGAAAGCATCCTTTTCGCCTTTGGAAGCCAACTGCTGGGGCACGTGTCTTGGCACAGAGCTGAACGGGAGCGTTCGCACTCAGGTTTCCGTCTCGCTCAGGTTTCCATCTGTGAAGAGCAGGCCTGGCACCAGCACCCAGCACCCTCAAGCACTTGCTGGGACCCCAAGCCAGTCCCCCAGCAGGAATCGCCAGCACCGACGCCTATTCTAGGCAGTGGTAACGGCGGCAGGCAGCCATTTAATTTCCCCACAATGGCCTAGAGCAACAATAATGCATCAGGCACACCAGGGCATTGTGGGAAATTAAAATGGCGGCCCTCAGGGGCCAAGGGCTCCCTCAAACCTGGTGCAAGCCCTAGCAGCCATTTAATTTCCCCACAATGGCCTAGAGCAACAACAATGCATCAGGCACACCAGGGCATTATGGGAAATTAAAATGGCGGCCCTCGGGGACTAAGGGCTCCCTCAAACCTGGAGCCAGCCCTAGCAAATGCCCAAGTCTCCTCTAGACTCTGCTGCCTTTAACCCTAATCTCCTGAGTCACCCTCTCTTGGCTTGAAGCTGGTTATCTCACTCATTCCTTCTATCCCAGCTTTCCTGCAAGGAAATGGTGTATGTGGCTCTCCTTGCTTTTATCCTTGCATCAACCCTGTGGGGCTCAAGGCCAAGGAACTGGCTCATGTTCTGCCAATGAGCTATGTGGCGGAGTGGGGATTTGAACCCAGTTCTCTCCAGTTATAGCCCCACACTCTTAACCACTCTGCCAATCTTTCCACCCAGTCTGGTGCCCTCCTTCAGATGCTTTGGACTGCGGCTCCCAGCATCTCTGACCATGGGCCATCCTGGCTGATGGAAGTTGCAGCTCAAAACATCTGAAGGACATCAAGCCGGAGAAGGTTGCACTATGCCATAATGCCTCGTTCAAGGTTATTGTAAGGTCTATGAGATCATCAGAGGGCAGGACCCAAAAACCAATGGATTCAAATGACAAGAAAGGAGATTCTGGCTAAACATTAGGAAGAACCTTCTGACCGTATGAGCTGCTTGACAGTGGAATAGACTTCCTTGGAAGGTGATGGACTCTCCTTCCACGGAGTTTTTAAAGCAGAGGTTGGTTGACCATCTGCCAGGGACTCTTTAGCCGTGATTCCTTCATTGCAGGGAGTTGGACTAAGATGGCCCTTGGGTTCCCTTCCAATCCGACAATTCCACGATTCTGTTTGTCAAGAACAGGCATAGGCAAACTCGGCCCTCCAGATGTTTTGGGACTACAACTCCCATCATCCGATGATGGGAGTTGTAGTCCCAAAACATCTGGAGGGCCGAGTTTGCCTATGCCTAGTCAAGAAACTATGGGATCGATATGGATTGTGGCTAACATGGTGTGGACGAGGCTTCAAAAGCCAGCAGATTGAGCACACCAGATATGGAGTATGTGGTTTGTGGACGTGACCTGATTCTGCCACCACCATTTGCACCTTTGCACAGCACAGTGGGGGGCACAGCCGTAGGAATCCTCAACACAGGATCTGGTCATGTGGCACAATAAATCTATTGATTTATTGGTTTGCTTGTTGCTTGTGCTTGTTACAGGGAACAAGGCAGAGGGCCTTCTCAGTAGTGGGACCCGCCCTGTGGAATGCCCTCCAACCAGATGTCAAGGAAATAAACAACTATCTGACTTTCAGAAGACATCTGAAGGCAGCCCTGTTTAGGGAAGTTTTTTAATGTTTGATGTTTTATCGTGTTTTTCATATTCTGTTGGGAGCTACCCAGAGTGGCTGGGGAAACCCAGCCAGAAGAGTGGGATATAAATTTTAAAAATATTATTATGTGGCACAAGACTCCATGGGCTTGCTTTTGAATCAAGAAGCTTGGATGGTGAATGAGGCCCTCATCCGCCATGAAAGATTTACTCTGCGCGAATAATCTTAAAACACTGCTCAGCCACTGCTATTCCAAAGAACAACCCTGACATGCTTGGGTTACTCATTATCAGACCAGAAAAACGCCAAGAGGCTCCCCCACAGACAGAAACATCTCATCAGTTTAAACAGAAACCCAGAGTCCCATTTACATTCACAACTCCGAGCTTCTCTTTGCAACCATCGTAATTTAATACCTAAAAGGTAATCTCAGTCCCTTATATATTAGTCACTGCATTCTAGGAGACAACTTCTGCTGATACTTTTTTATCAGGAAGAACATTCCATATGATATAGGAACAAGGCCTTCAGTGTGGTGGCCCCCATCTCTTGGAACACCTGTTAAATATGAGATGGATGACATCTCTATTCTCTTTTCAGCACCTGCTAAAGACCTTCCTCTTTCAAGAAGACTTTCAAGAAGATATTTTGATCCTAATCCACATCTGTACTGGAACTGTTTTTAATTGTATTTATATGTGGGATTCTTTCTTTCTTTCTTTCTTTCTTTCTTTCTTTCTTTTAGTTGTTTGATTGTATTGTTTTATTAGTGATGTGTATGCCACCCTGGGCTCCTTTGGGAGGAAGGGAGAAATATAAATTTAATGAAGAAGCAAACAAACTCTAAAGCGCTCTTAAAATCAAGGGTGGTTGGGTGACCACAGGCAGTTCCTAATCATAATTATAAATCCAAAATATTGGTAAGCAGTTGTTATTAAGCTGCTTCAGTAGGAGCTGCCACATACAGTGTGGACTAGGACCTGGGACAGACTCCCCACTCAGCCATGAATCTCACTGGGTGGTGTTGAGTCAGTTGCTGCCTTTCAGCCTAACCTATCTTACAGGGTCGTTGTGGGAATCAATCGAGGAGCGGGACAACCCTAAATGCCACCTTGAGCTCCTTAGAGAAAAAGGTGGGGTATAAATACAAAGAATGAAAAATGAAACATACTCTGGGGCAGAAGACAGATTGGGAGCTCCTGCTTCGTGACTTGCCACAGAATGGTGATTTCTTCTTCTTCTCCCCAAACCTTTGTATCAGACAAACATTACGTAAACATGTCAGAGGAGGTTCGCGTCATAATGTGCAGGACTGCATTATTTTGCAAACAAGGAAGAAAGTGCAGCCTTTCAGTACAGGTTTCATGAAATGCAGGGATCACAAAAGTCTAAAAATTTATAAAGGACATAAAAACCCCTTTTGAATTCCAGCTATTTGCTCAAGATGAGAAAAGGAACCACAAATATGAAATTGGTCTCTTGAACTGGGTGTAAAAGGGCTGGGAGTTCAGGTCAGTTCTGGTACCGAAACAACTTATGAGGCTCAAAATGTGCTCCAACGAGGCACTCAGCTTTTTAATTCTAACTACATGTCTTTTGCACATGGCTCCAGCTGGTTCTGGTAAAATAAAAAAATCCGAACCAAACTATTTCCCACAACTCTGAAATCTACCCACCTCTGCTTAAAGGACTGACATGGTCACAAGACAGGTCTAAGCCCCGAGGTGCTTACATATAGATCTGGGGCTGGACAGAGAGAGCACTAAACCCATTAGAATTAAATGGCATCAAATGCAGCTTTCGGAACTGCATTTTTAAAAAATGATTGCCTAGCAGCCCTTAGCGCAGGGAGGCAACCTGTACACCTCAAAATATCAAGGAAATAAACAAAAAATATTGGGGGTGTTTCCTTTGACTCAGTTGCACACGCCAAGCTGTGTGTTCCTGGAACGCTGCCAAAGTCCAGGTTGCAGATTTGCTAGGTGAGTCGTTGGTGGGGGGTGCTGCCTCTGATCACTGAGCGAGACCTCTTCTCCGCTTGGAGGTACCGCCAAGCCAGAGCTGCAGAGAAGTTGCTGCCAACTCCGAAGAGGAGCCCTGCCTACTCCCGGCTAAGCCCAAGAGCTTCTGCTGGGAGGAGAAAAGGATCCCTTAAACCCACTCTTGTTTTTCTTGCAACACTAAAATTAGCTGCTTGCAGGACTCAACAGAGGGGGGAAATTCCTGTAGAGTTAAGTGGTAGCTTTTCTACGGCTTTACCCTGCTGGAGCCTGCCTCCCCCTGCTCCCCGCTTCCCAGGTCATTCGCCCTACCAGTACAACCAGACTATTGTCTACATAAGGGAGGGGGAATCATTTTTTTCAAAAAAAGCCTCTTCGTCACCTATGGGTGCTGAAAAGACAGTGTATCAGAGAACAGCTACAAAGATGTTGCAAGCCCATGCTATGCAAACAACAACAGCCCGCAGTTCAGTGTTAGGGCATCTGCTTTGCATGCAGAAGGTCCTACATTCAATCCCTGGCATCTACAGGTAAGGATTGCCCCATGCCTGAGAGCTGAGATAGAGTCAGTGTAAAGGGTAAAGGTAAAGGGACCCCTGACCATTAGGTCCAGTCTCGGATGACTCTGGGGTTGCGGTGCTTATCTTGCTTTATTGGCCGAGGGAGCCGGTGCACAGCTTCCGGGTCATGTGGCCAGCATGACTAAGACGCTTCTGGCAAACCAGAGCAGTGCACGGAAACACCGTTTACCTTCCCGCTGGAGTGGTACCTATTTATCTATTTGCACTTTGTGTTTTCAAACTGCTAGGTTGGCAGGAGCAGGGACCGAGCAACGGGAGCTCACCCCATTGCGGAGATTTGAACCGCCGACCTTCTGATTGGCAAGCCCTAAGCTCTGTAGTTTAACCCACAGTGCCACCCGTGTCCCTAGAGTCAGTGTAGACAGTGCTAAACTAGATGGATGTTTGTCTGATGCAGTACAAGGCAGCTTACTTTGTTCTTATGTCTTAACCCCAGCTCTAAGCAGAACCGCATGGCTCTACGTTTAAATAAAATTGCAATCCCACACCAAGAGAAGCTGAATTGCGACACTGTTCTTAATGATAAGTGTGGTGGTTAAAGTTGGTAGCGCATGAGACTCTCAATCTCAGGGTTGTGGGTTTGAGCCCCACATTGGGCCAAAGATTGCTGGGGGTTGGACTAGATGACACTTGTGGTCCCTTCCAACTATATGATTCAAACTGGGCAAACCTGGGTCCAAACCCCATCTCAGCTGTGAAGCAAGCTCTCTGCTGTTTCAAACAGGCACTATCTCTGTAGTCTCTTGGGCACCTGTTGAAGACATTGTTCTTTCAACAAGCCTTCTGAAGGGGAGGTTTTAAAAATATATCCCAATGTATATGCATCCCACTGTTGAACAGCTCTTACTTTCAGAAAGTTCTTCCTGATGTTTAGTCGGAATCTCCTTTTTTTGTTACTCGAAGCCATTGGTTCAAGCCTACCCTCCAGAGGAGGAGAAAACAAGCTTGCTCCATCTTCCATGAGACAGCCTTTCAGATATTTGAAGATGGCTATCATAGCTCCCTCTTTTCCAGGCTAAACATACCCAACTCCCTCAACTGGGTTTCCAGACCCTTAGTCATCTTGGTCGCTCTCCTCTGTACAAGTTCCAGCTTCTCAATACCCTTCTTAAATTGTGGCACCCAGAACTGGACACAGTATTCCAAGTGTGGTCTGACCAAGGCAGAACAGAGTGGGACTGTGGCTTCCCTTGATCTGGACAATAGATGGATGAAAATTAAAACAGAAATGGAACCGTAAGAACAGCCTGGGTGCTGGATCGTCCCATTGACCTATCTCACTGCAGCCTATCAGGTGCCACGACGGGGAGCCAGAAGCCCATTCTATTCCCCTTGCAGTCCTACGAGGGGAGCTGGCTGCCCAGGTAACAATGTTTTCCGAGCATGCCCAGGCCAGAAAAACATTGCACAAACCTGCTGTCCCTCTTCTGCAGACACTGTATCTCCTGTACAGACAGTCCTCGGGCCATCTGCGTAAGAAAAACATTTACACAAAAACATCCAATCCGCTTAGCAACCGAAGCGCCGCTGCCTGGGCTCTTCTCTAAGTCAAGTCTTCGCCCCCAGGGCTGCTTCACCACACACGCACTCTCGTAAAAAATAAGAGGCGAGGTGGTGGCGCCACGCCCTCGACCCAGCCCAAGTTACCACAAACCCCTGTCCTGCGGTGCCCTTTCCAAGGCCAGGGAGGAACCAGAATGGGTGGCAAGCACCTCTCTGGAATAAGACAGTAACGGCCCTGCAGGATCGACCCAGTGGCCCATCTAAGTCCAGAATCCTGCTTGCACAGTGGCCAACCAGATGCCTCAAGGCCGGAGCAGAAACTCTCCCAACCTGCAATTCCCAGAAGCTCATATTCAGAGGCACCCTGCCCTGCCTCTGGCAATGGGAAATAGCCATTGTGGGTAGTAGCCATTGATAATCTTACCCTTCAGGATCCAGTTTGGTGGCCATCCCTGCCTCTTGTGGGAGCCTAGATGTTTGCCTGAGCATCTTCTTGACTGTACAAATCAATTGCCCAGAACAGGGGGCGGGGAATCATTTCTGCTCCGCTGAGCAAGCCAACTACGACAGATGGGACAACCCACCTGTCAATCATATGTCGTTATTGACATGTCCTGCCCCAACCCGGTCAAACTCTATTGCACAGGGTTCCTGCTGTAGCTCTGGATTTCTGCCATCAGGCAGGCTGTTTAACTTACAAGACTGCTCTCCCCCCGAAACAACAACAACAAAACCCTCTATATTGGTGGGGGAAGGCTCAAGACGTCTTTGGCTTTTTCACCTATGTCCCCCAAAAGTCATTCCTTGAAATCACTGGAGAAACTGATCTTGAGTTCGAATTTTGCCTCGGCTATGACATCATCAGGTGGCCTCAAAGCAGGGGCCGCCATGGCAGTTCCTCCAGATTTTGCTGAGCCACAAACCTCATCACCTCTCACCTCTGCCTGTGCTGGTTGGGGCTGACGGGAGCAACATCTGGAGCGCGCCATGTTGGCTACTCCTGTCTTAAAGCAAGCCAGTCTCTCTGCCCACCCTCTGCTGCCCATTTGCAACAGGGCGAGAACAAAACTGGTCCGCCTTACAAAGCTGTTGTTGGAACTGGAGCAAGAAAACAGAAACGAAGTGCTGTAAGCTATTGAAACTGCTATTCAGAATGCTATGCGTTAAAAAATTATTAGCAATAACCCAGGAGGTGGGAAGGGGTGTGTGGGTATTACATTCATACATATATATATCTCCAAGGAAATTCTGGCGCAAAGGATTAATAAAGGCACAGAAGAAATATTCAGTTCAACCTCACTGGTTTTTAATGATGCTTGACCTCTCTGCTGCTCTTATTTGGGTTTCTCTTTAACTTTGCTTGGCTCCTACCGTCTTTATATTTACTGGCGTTTTTATCTGATGTTGTGCGTGCATATGGATGTATGTGTGTGTGCGTGCGTGCGCGTGCGTACCCCTTGCTTTCATTTTGCATGGCTTATTGTATTTTTGCAATTCCAGCGGCAAAGCTGCCTCCAAGCAATTTTGCAAAACAAGCAAGCAAGCAAACAAACAAACAAAAAGGTGGGGTCAATTTATGTATTCAGTTGTCAGATTTCTCTGCAGCCCCCTTCACCGCAAGGTCCCAGGGGTGGGTTTCAGCAACACAATCGTACAATTAAAAACATTTTCTGAAAAAGCAAAACACAGCTTATGTACAATTACAGAAAAATGTTTTAACAACGATTCCATGCAACAGCAGCATAGTATAGAATTAGCCAAAATGGAAGCAGCTGAGTCTCGTAACAGTAACTTAACTACCAAAGACCATAGTAAAGAATTTGGTTAGAATTAGAGAATATTAATTTTGTAAAGGTTTCACTAAAGCTGAACTTGTCGGGGGAGGCCTTTGTCTCATTCCCACCACCCTCAAAGGCACGTTTGGTGAGGACACGAGAGAGGGCTGTACCTACAGTAAAAACTAAGATTTATGGTGGCAGCTATCTGGAGCATATGTCCTCATATGCAATGCTATCCCCAGTTGGCATGCATATATGCATGCAAGTAAGGAGATAAAAATTGAGCTGAAAGCATTCTTCTTCATTATTATTATTCTACGAAGAAGAAGGTGGTATGCGCCTCATTTCCATCAGGTTCCACAGCTTACCATTTCCTCCTTATGTGCCCATTCTCTACACCTGAAAACTGAGGCAAGCATGACATCTTTCTCATTATTGGACTGTAGCTCACAAAAGCTTCTGAGCATCATAAATTTGTTGGGTTTAAGGTACCGCCAAGTCCCTGTGTTGCATTTATGAACGAGCAGAGGATGCGGTTTCAGAGTATTCCGTTTGCCTAATTATTCTGCCTCCGTTTCATCCCAAATTAGAGTTTAGTGTACATTGCAAACTGTAAATTTGGTAAGAGAACCAAATTCTCTTATTTCAAGGTTTGAGCAGCATATAATGAAGGCACACTTTCAGAAGATATTAGGTGGGGGATAATGATTGTTGAAGAGAATTTCTTAAAGTCAGATCTGTTTAGAAAATGAGTTTGATATAAACAGGTGCTGAGTACAAGCCACTCTACACCTGAGTCAGGATTTACCAATATAAAGGATGGATACAAGTAAAAACTTTAAAATATGGAGATATATATATGTATGTTTCAGGATGTAATATTTCAGAGGAATATAGTCTCTTACTCAGAGATTGAAAGGGATTCCTTCCCTATTGTGTGAACACTTCTATGTTCTCTATTGTGTTCAGGAATATCTCAGCATACACGAGCAATTAAGAGAAGCAAGAGAATTTGAGAAATTAATAATGAAAAACAACAAACATGGATTTGCAAAGATGTTATCGGCTGCTTGTCAAACATGATACAGAGCCAGAAAGAATTAGGGAATATAGGGTGAACTGGGCTTAGGGTTCCTACAAAGGGTTTTTTTTTAAGGGGGGGGTAGATTAAAAAAAACCATGCACTTCCCTAGAATGTGGCAATTACAGAGAACTGTTACAAGCTAATGAGACTATATTACTTCTGCGCTAATGCATAAAGGACAGATAGTGAAGCTGAGGCTCCAATACTTTGGCCACCTCATGAGAAGAGAAGACTTCCTGGAAAAGACTCTGATGTTGGGAAAGATTGAGGGCACAAGGAGAAGGGGATGATGGAGGACGAGATGGTTGGACAGTGTTCTCGAAGCTACAAACATGAGTCTGACCAAACTGCGGGAGGCAGTGGAAGACAGGAGTGCCTGGCGTGTTCTGGTCCATGGGGTCATGAAGAGTCGGACACGACTAAACGACTAAACAACAATGCATAAAATCATTAAGAATTACTCCCGCCACAAAAATAGGAAAGGGGGGTGGGGATATATGTATTTTTCTATGTGTGGTTGGAGTATGAGGGTTTTTTTTTAAAAAAAAAAGAGAAAAATAATATATTTGCAGGTTATGGCCAACTAAGCTGTACTCAGAGTAGACCCATAGAAATTGCTGCATTGTATCCCACACTAGTCCTACTCAGAGTAGATCCATTAAAGTACATGAACATGACTAAAGTTGTTGTTTTCAGTGGCTCTCCTCCAAGTAGGACTAGAGTGGGATACAACCCTAAAATTTTTAAGATGGGAAATAGCCCTAACTGCAATGCTATACTTACTCCCAATACTTATTGTTGGGAGCTGCCCAGAGTGGCTGGGGCAACCCAGTCAGATGGGCGGCAAACAAACAAACAAACAAACAAACAAACAAACAAACAGGGAATGTGATCTGACAGGGGTTCAAATATGGCCTGTGAAGCTCCAACCACATCTGCCTGCCCCACACCCTAAATACTACCACCACCACTACTAATAATAATAATAATTAATCTCGGTATTGGAGGTCTTCTTAAGATCAATAAGGAATAATGAGAATATCAAAGGAGTGTCAGTAGGGCAAAATCAATACAAAGTCAAAGCTTTTGCGGACGATTTAGTTATTACAATAGAAGATCCCACGAAGAGTGTAGATGAAGTGTTGGAAGAGGTAGAACAATTTGGAGAGGTGGCCGGCTTTAAGTTAAACAGAAAGAAAACCAAAATAATTACAAAAAACATTGAACAGGATGTAATTGAAAGATTGCAGCAACAATTAGGGATTGAAATGGTGAGAAAAGTTAAATATTTAGGGATTACACTAACCACTAGAGGTATTGATTTATTTCACGATAATTATGTACCAGTATGGAATAAGATAAAAAAGGACCTGGAGGTGTGGGGTAGAATGAAATTCTCATTTTGGGGAAGGATTGCAACGATAAAGATGAATGTGCTACCAAAAATGTTATTTTTATTTCAAACAACACCAATAATAAAAGGAGTGACAATATTTAAAGAATGGCAAAGAATATTATCAAGATATATTTGGCAGGGCAAGAAACCAAGAATTAAATTTAAGATATTAACTGATGCAAGAGAAAGAGGAGGTTTCGCCCTGCCAGACTTGAGGTTATATTATGAAGCATCATGTCTTTGTTGGTTGAAAGAATGGATGAAGTTATGATAATAGATTCGGTTGGCACGCATATTTATGGTATGATAAAAAAAGAATACATAAAGGGTTTGAGAACCACATCTTTAGAGGATCTTTGATTGTAGTTTGGAATAGGTATAAAAATGTATTAGAACCAAAGATTCCACATTGGTTATCACCATTAGAGGTTATGAGTATTAAAAAGATAAATATGAGCGGGAGATGGATAACATATGAGAGACTATTAAAAAAGGAAGGAAATAAGTGGAAATTGAAACCATATGAAAAAGTAAAAGAATATGTTAAGGATTGGCTGCATTATTTTCAGTTAAATGAAATGTTTAAAAAAGAGGTTTTAGAGAGGGGATATTCTGAAAAGAATCTAGATTTCAACAAGAAATCTTAAACAATGAAGTGAAAATTTTATCTAAAATGTATAAAATATTGTTGGAATGGAATACTGTGGACGAAGAGGTTAAATCTGTTATGATTAGTTGGGCTAGAGATTTCGGATATAATATTGAATTTGAGAAATGGACTAAATTATGGAAGGATGGGTTAAAGTTTACAGCTTGTACAACGATTAAGGAAAATGTTATGAAGATGTTATATAGATGGTATATAACACCAGTAAAACTGGGTAAAATGTATAAAGTGTGTAATAAATGTTGGAAGTGTAAGGAGACAGAAGGAACATTTTACCATATGTGGTGGGAATGTAAGAGGGTAAAAAGCTTCTGGGAGATGATCTATAATGAGTTAAAGAAAATGTTGAAATATACTTTTGTTAAAAAACCAGAAGCTCTCTTGTTGGGAATACTGGATAATGAAATTAGTAAAAAAGATGTGAAATTAGTTTTGTATGCAGTAACAGCAGCCAGAATTTTGCTGGCACAGAAATGGAAACAGGAAGAGATGCCCACGAAAGAAGAATGGAGGATGAAACTGATGGAATACGCAGAAATGGACAGATTGACGGGGAGAATTAGGAACCAACGTGACCAGAGATTCTCCGAGGACTGGAAGAAATTTACAGAGTATATCAAAAATTTATGTGATGAGCAAATAACGTTCGTTGGCTTTCAAGAAGCTCTGTGAAATTACTGTTAGAAATATTGTTTAAAAAATATGATGTGATTAAGAGTATTTGAGTGCAATATAATATTGGGAAATGTGAGACGAGGATAAAAAATAAACGGAAAATTATCAGACAAGCTGAGGGAAGTTCTGGCAAAAAGGGTTTAAGTTAAAAATGGATGTATAATTTTGTAAAAATGTTTTTTTTTTATGGAAAATCTAATTAAAAATATTTATTAAAAAAATAATAATAATTAATGGGCATGACTAACTTCGGTCCATTCATTCCAATGGTTCGTCTCCGAGCAGGACTCAGTCAGACGCAACCCAAAACCAGGATAATTTCATGGCTAATTGAATTATATTCCTTAAATATCACAAGAAATGTTGGTTACTGCCAAACGTACAACATGGGTTTGCAATGTTCAATTAGATCAGTTCAGGATATGCATGATGTATTAAAATTAATTGGGGTGCTTGGATAATACAATGACATATATTGAAATACCATATCGATATACGATTGTCACCTGGAACTATTTATTTTTTTCAACAGCACATTGGATATTGATCCAGACCATTGTATGAATAGCTTTGTGAATTTTTCATTACTGTATCGGCTTTTTGTAATACTGGTAGAATTACCTTTTTTGCCCTTCTTTTCTTATACTCTTAATATTTCCAGGATGTTACATATAAGATGCTAATTTTTTTTATTTTTAAAGTAACTATTGATCAGGTAGAGAGCCTAAACCTGGCTAAAACTGAGCTCCTAGACTTGCTGAAAGCAGTTTCCAAGTAATAATAGTAATAGTAATAATAATAATAGTAATAATAATAATAATAATAATAATAATAATAATAATTTTATTTATACCCCCGCCCACCTAGCTGGGTTTCCCCAGCCACTCTGGGCAGCTTCCAACAAAATACTAAAATACCATAACTCATCAAATATTAAAAACTTCCCTAAACAGGGCTGCCTTCAAATGTCTTCAAATGCCTTCAAATGTCTTCTAAAAGTCTGATAGTTGTTTATTTCCTTGACATCTGATGGGAGGGAGTTCCAGAGGGCGGGTGTCACTACTGAGAAGGCCCTCTGCCTGGTTCCCTGTAACTTCACTTCTCACAGTGAAGGAATCTCCAGAAGGCCCTTGGAGCTGGACCTCAGTGTGCGGGCAGAACAATGGGGGTGGAGACGCCCCTTCAGGTACACTGGGCTGAGGCTGTTTAGGGCTTTAAAGGTCAACACCAACACTTTGAATTGTGCCCAGAAACATACTGGGAGCCAATGCAGGTCTTTCAGAACTGATGTTATGTGGTCTAGGGGGCCACTCCCAGTCACCAGTCTAGCTGCCGCATTCTGGATTAGTTGTAGTTTCCAGGTCACCTTCAAAGGTTGGCCCACGTTGAGCGCATTGCAGTAGTCCAAGCGGGAGACAACCAGAGCATGCACCACTCTGGCGAGACTGTCTGCGGGTAGGTAGGGTCTCAGCCTGCGTACCAGATGGAGCTGGTAGACAGTTGTCCTGGACACAGAATTGACCTGCACCTCCATGGACAGCTGCAAGTCCAAAATGACACTGGCTGATAGTAATCAAGGCAGCTGCTTACGCATTGCCCCCTCCCTCCCAAGGAAAGAGATTTGCACAAAATGTACATGTGCCGATGTTAGGTGTGCAATTTAGAAACAATTGCTACCATTAAAATAGATATGCAACACACCTTCCCACACTGAGGAAGACTGGGACGGTGTGTCTGGCGTGTCTGACTGCAACCGCTACTATGCTATAAGATCCACTATCCTGTAATATTACATATGAGCCTGTTCTACTGATGAAGCCTAGGATGGCGAAACAAGGCTAATATTCCGGAAATCCTTGTCTTAGACTCTGTGAAAGGATTCTGTGGAACTGTAACAATGCTTCATGTGGATTATTGGAGTCTTTGAACAGACAAGTGGAATAGATACTTTTACATGTATGGACCTTACGCATGAACTGACTAGAGAATGAACTGATCCACTGGGTCTTCTGCTTTCTTCATTGAACTTTATGAGACTTCCGTTGAAATCTACAATTTGATACAATGAATAGTATACCTTATTTATTCAAAAGTTCCGCCGGTTGTGTGTTTATTGAGTCTGCTCTCCAGGCACTAACTATGGACGGGCGGCCTCAAGGCTCTTCCCGTTCTCCCATAAGCTGAACTACGGAACTCACTGCCACAAGATGGGCTGTCACATGGGGGATGGGGGAAGCTTGTTTTCTCCTGCTTCGGAGGGTCAGGCCCGAATCAATGGCTTCCAGTTACAGGAAAGGAGATTATTAATTTTTAGGGAAGCTTCTTAAGGTTTAATGCTTTATTATGTTTTTGTATGTGCTGGAAGCCACCCAGAGTGGCTGGGGCAACACAGTCAGATGGGCATAGCTGTCAACTTACAGATTTGAAAATAAGGGACCAGCAGCCTTGAAAATAAGGGACCAGCAGCCAAAATAAGGGACCTGCCTGCAGCCGCACCTGTTCCAGGCACTCCAGTCTTCCTGTCCTCCGGCAGTCTGGTCAAACTCATGCTGGTAGCTTTGAGAACACTGTCCAACCAACTTTGTAACCAGAGGTTCAACTGAATAGAATCTGAATCACATGCACCACAAGGCCTATGCAGTCTCAACTTAAGATGGCTCCCCGGCCTGGCTTTGCACTGCAAAGTTTGCAGCAGCATGTGCAACAAAATGGCGTCCAGCATTCAAAAAACCCCTCAGCTTGTATTAACTAGCCACACACAAGGCATGCAAGCTCCACCCCCCAGTCATTCTTAGACTTCTTATTGGGTGAGCAACACAGCCAAGCAACACAGTTGGAGCCTCCCTCCTCCCTGGCCGTCAGGGAGGGAGGGAGAGGAGCTGCTTCCTTTGAAATTTAAGAGACATCATTTAAGGGACATTTAAGGGACAGCCATCAATAAGGGACAGCAGCGGGACATGGCGCTGGAATAAGGGACTGTCCCTTCAAATAAGGGACACTTGACAGCTATGCAGATGGGTCGAGTACAAATAATAATAATAATAATAATAATAATTTATTACTATTGCTGTTGTTTTTGTTATTATTCCTACTAAACATCAGGAACAACTTTATGACACAAAGACCTGCTTGACAGTGGAATGGACTCCTTTTTAAGCAAAGATTGAGTAGTCATGGATGTTTTAGCCGAGATAGTGTTGTAGGGGGTTGGCTTAGATGACCCTTGGAGTCCCCTCAGACCCTACAATTCTATGATTTCTATGGAATTCATGGAGACAAAGGCTTGCAGTGGCTATTAGCCATGATGGCCAAGATCTACCTCCGCTTTCAGAGGTATTATGCCTCTGGTGACCAGTTGCTGGCAATCGCAGGTGGGCAGAGTCCTGCTGGACTTAGGGCCGGCTGATGGACTTCCCAGGGATACCTGGAAGAACAGGATCCACTGGCCTGATCCAGCAGGCCTCTTCTTATGAAGAGTTTGGATTTGATATCCTGCTTTATCACTACCCGAAGGAGTCTCAAAGCGGCCAACATTCTCCTTTCCCTTCCTCCCCCACAACAAACACTCTGTGAGGTGAGTGGGGCTGAGAGACTTCAAAGAAGTGAGACTGGCCCAAGGTCACCCAGCAGCTGCATGTGGAGGAGCGGCGAATCAAACCCGGTTCACCAGATTACAAGACTACCGCTCTTAACCACTACACCACACTGGTTCTCTGGGCACTGGCTCTAGCTCCGAGGAAAAACGAAACGCACGGCTGCGCGTAACGTGCCATTGGCACCGAGAATCTGACAGAACGTTCCCTTCTATATTTGATTTCTCCGAAATGCTGCGCAGTGCGAGTTCCTACAGGCTTTATTTTTACTTTATTTTTTTTTAAAGGGCTTGTGGGACCTGGGGAGTGGGAAGGCGGTGGCGGTGGGGGGGGGGGGTAGAGAAAGAAAAACCAAAGAAACACCCTCTTGTCTTGTGAAACGCTCTCCGAGCTTAACCACTAATCCGGCAGGTTTTCTGAAAAAGGGAGACTCCACCAAGCTGCCTGGGGAGACAGCAAACACCTCCCCCGCCATGCTAAAGCAACAGAGAATGCCACACACACCTGGGCATGCAGCAGGCAGGATCTGGGCCAAGCGCAGGCCCCACCCCACCGTTGGGGGGACCCCAGGTGACCCACACAGGCCTATCGCAGCTCAGGATGGGGCAGCAGTGAGGGAAGAGAGAGGGGAAAAATGCTGCAAGACCAGATTCATTCCAGCACGGAAGCTGTCCAAGCATTTGATATCTCCTGAAAGTCGTCTAACTCTATGTTCGCTGGCCCTCTGGCAGTCTTCTCAAGTCCTCCTAGATGTGGATTGGAAGGGTGGGTGGGGGGAAAGCTCACCATCCCATAAGCCAAAAATGTACTAAAAGCTGCCACCTGTGGTCTCCTCATCTTGCAGCCTTCAAGACCCCTACTTGACCAGAAAGGTCCGATGTTTCCATCCCTTGCCTCTCGAGGTGAAAGGACTATAGGTAGGTAGGACATTGGGGAACAAGTTCCAGGGAATGGATTGGAAAGTCTCTGTGTCAATCAGAGAAGAGGGTGGGGACAAAACCGGAATTAGTTGTCTGTCCCCGACTCTGGCGCCACCTACTGTTGGCCTCCTTGCCCTTTGCCGCAGCAGCTGCCATTGAGCGGTCAAGATGCCTGCCAGCTTGGAGGAGACAGGTCTGAATTTCAGCTCATTTTTAGATGAACCATTCCTAGCACAGTTGAAGGGAGGCCCATCAGGAGTGCCTCACAGGGCCTAGCTCCTTAATACCATGTGGAAGAACAGAGCAAGAGGCTCCCGGCTGAAATGAGAGAGGGTTCCTTTTTAGTATTAAAGGGTGTGCCATTTAGTTTCAGACAGAAGCATAGCTGTCAACGTTTCCCTTTTTTAAAGGGAAATTCCTTTATTCCAAATAGGATTCCTCGCAAGAAAAGGGAAAAGTTGATAGCTATGGACAGAGGTGCCTCCTTTCCAAGGAGGCCATTCAGAGGAAATCTCATTCCCTTCTATTTCAAGACAAACCTATTTGCGCTTTCGGAAACATAGCCAGCCTTTGAAATCCCCGCTTCTCCGAATTTTGCAAGGCAATTCTACAGCCCAGCAATGAGTACCAAAAAAAATGCATGTAACAGTGTAAAGTGTGCATAAAGGCACACATAATAGAATATTAGAACTGTAGGGTTGGAAGGGACCCCAAGGATCATCTAGTCTAACCCCCTGCAATGCAAGAATATCTTCCTGTAAAGGACATACCAAAAATGCATTCTCTATTAGGGTGGGATTTCTTTGCAAACACGAGTACAGTGGAACCTTGGTTCTCAAACAGCTTAGCTGACGAACAAATTGGCTTCCAAACACCAAAAAAGCAAAAAAAGTAAGTGTTCTGGTTTTTGAACGTTTTTCAGAAGCTGAACGTCCGACGCAGCTTCCACTTGAGTGCAGGAAGCTCCTGCAGCCAATCGGAAGCTACACCTTGGTTTTCAAATGGTTTCGGGAGTCAAACGGACTTCCAGAATGAATTAAGTTCAAGAACCAAGGTTTCACTGTATATTAGGCAAAATTGCTCACTCCAAAATTCATACTCTAATGCTGACAACTTTTCACAAGGCCTTGTTTTTCAGTTGCAAACCGATGTGGAAAACTCTGCTTAAGATGGGGGTTGGGGGTGGGGAAGAAATGAGAAAATTAAACAGACAGAAATGCCCATCCCTGGAGTGCAGACGGCAGGCCACGAGAAGAAAAACCCAAGGCAGGCTTAACACCCTCCGTCACTACCTGCCGACACAGATCTGCCACACTCAGGAGCGAGAGACAGAAGCCCTCTGGCGCATTTTCCTCCAGCTCGCACCCAGAACGAGTCGCAACAGTTTCACGCTCGTCTCCAGTAATGCATATGGTATGTGGTCCCCCCCATCTCCCTTTGCCCTGAGGCTAGAGTTTATCTCCAGGTTAGGCAGTGGAAGTCTAATGGCAAGGAGAAGGCAGTCCATTTAATCGCATCCCACCCAGTTGGCTAAACTCACTCACTCTCTTTCTCTCTGCTTATATATCTTCATTCCAAGGATAAAAAAGTAAGACCTAGGCTGCTGGATCAGACCAAAGGCCCATCTATTTTAACACCCTGTTCTCAGAAAGACCAATCAGGCGCCTCTGGGAATCCTATCAAAAAGGATATTGTAGAGTTGGAAAACGTTGGAAAAGGGCAAGCAAGATGACCAAGGGAGTGGGGAGTGACACCCCCATCAAGGTTGCAGCTTTTGTGACTTTTTAGTTTGGAGAAAGGGGGAGTAAGAGCATGGTGCTGATAATGCCAAGGTTAAAGGTTCAGTCCCCTTATGGGACAGCTGCAGATTCCTTGGACTGGATCTGGATTTCCCAAACTTGTGTCTCCAGCTGTTTTTGGACTACAGCTCCCACCATCCCAAGGTAGCAGCAGCAGCGGTCAGGGATGATGGGAACTGTGGTCCAAAAACAGCTAGAGACCACAAGTTTGGGAAACCCTGGATTAGATGATCCTCAGAGTCCCTTCCAGCTTTACAATTCTATGATTCAAAGAGGCGGTGGATAGAAGTTTATAAAATTACATGTGGCATGGAGAAAGTGGACAGAGAAAAGTTCCTTCTTCCACACAGGCAACGCTAGAAGTTGTGGGCCTCCAATGAAGCTGAATGTTGGACAATTCCAGACAGGTAAAACAAAGTCCTTCATGTAGTGTAACTATGGAACTCCCTGCAAGGAGGTCCCAAGGACAACTGAACTCTCACCACTTGCAACTCCCAGCAAGTGGAATTCGGTTTTTGAAAATGACTGGCTGGTAGCCACCAATAGCCCTATCCTCTGTGACTCTGCGTGATCTCCTTTTAAGGCCACCCAATTTTGCCACCACCACTACTACTGGGGCAACACAGCAGATGGGTGTGGTAAAAGTAAAATCATCACCATCATCTTACAGGAGTCCGGTGCAGTTAAAGTAGGAGAACAAGAAGAGCCCTGCTAGATCTGGATTTTATTCCAACTTCCTCCTATTTCATTGGTGTAGTATAAACACTGACAACTGGGAAACACTGGCCTGCGAGTGCAACCAGTTGGAGAACAGCCGTTACCAAAGGTGTCATGGGCTTTGAAGACACTCAAACTCAGGATGCAAGGGAGAAATGTGCTAGGAGGAAGGCACGCTTGGCAAATCCACACCGTGATCAGCTCCTGCCCAGAAACCAATGTCCCCACAGTGGAAGGACATGTGGATCCAGAATTGGCCTCCACAGGCACTTACGGACTCATTGTTAAAACCGTGTTTATGGAAGACAATCTTACTCGGCTACGAGTGATCGCCAAAGAAGAAAGAAGATTTCATTGGCCAACCAGAGGTCTATGGGAAGCTCACAAGCAACAGCACCCTCTCTCCACTTGCGATTCCCAGCCACTAGTATTCATGTGAGGACAGGAAGCTTTCTCATACAGAGTCAGATTATTGGGCTGCCTAGTTCAGTATTGTCTGCTCTGACTGGCAGCGCTTCTCCAGGGTCTCAGACAGGGGACCCAGCCAGCCCTGCCTGGAGATGTCAGCCACCAAACCTGGGACCTTCCTTGTAGCTCAGTCGGTAAAGCACGAGACTCTTAATCTCAGGGCTGTGGGTTTGAGTCCCAGTTTGGGCAAAAGACTCTTGTGTTGGACTAGATGAGCCTTGTGGTCCCTCTTCCAGCTCTACGGTTCTGCATTCCAAGGAAGATGCTCTACCATGGAGCTATGGCCCTTCTCCAAATCCTCCCGCTTGCCACAGCCCTGCCATCTCATCCACAGCCTGTTGTAAATATGTAGGGATGCCAATCCCCAAACAGTCTTGGCCCAGTATACCTGAAGGAGCATCTCCACCCCCATCATTCTGCCCAGACGCTGAAGTCCAGCGCCGAGGGCTTTCTGGCAGTTCCCTCCCTGCGAGAAGCAAAGCTACAGGGAACCAGGCAGAGGACCTTCTCGGTAGTGGCACCCGCCCTGTGGAACGCCCTTCCATTAGATGTCAAAGAGATAAACAACTACCTGACATTTAGAAGACATCTGAAGGCAGCCCTGTTCAGGGAAGTTTTTAATGTGTGACGTTTTGATGTATTTTTAATCTTTCTTGGAAGCCACCCACATTGGCTGGGGAAACCCAGCCAGATGGGCGGGGTACAAATAATAATAATAATAATAATAATAATAATAATAATAATATTGTTGTTATTATTATAGCCCTTCTCAGGGATCTCAGAGGCTGTCTTCCACTGAGTCAGTTCTAAGCTTGGTACTGTCCGTACTTCCTGGCAGTGGTTCTCCGGGATTTCGGAAAGGGGTGCTGGAGGTGTCGCAGCAGATGTGCCATCTCCATGGAGCAAGCTCCTATCTTGCCTCTTCCTGGCAGGCAGCACCACTCAGCTCCCTCCACGCACAGCTGTAGCCCCCACGCGGCCAGCTGGATTTAAAAGGAACATGCTCGGCAGGAACGCTGGATGCTGATAAATAAGCAAGGTTCCCCCCTCCATTCCCACCCCTTCTGAAGGACAAGCTCAAAGAACTGTGCCTGGTGAGTCTCTCTCTCTCTCTCTCTCTCTCTCTCTCACACACACACACACACACACACACACACACACACACTTTGGGGACTCCCAGTTGAGGGTCACCGTCAGAACGACATCAAAAGGACAGCTGTGCTGGGAAGCCCAGACTTAAGAGAGGCCGTCCTCGCCTCCAGAAACCGGCCCCGGAGACACCTTTCAATGAGGGCTCGTAGGATAGTTTGTCCTGCTTTATTCATTTTATTTTATTTACTTATTTATTAGCTTTAGGTACCCCCCCTCCCCTTCATAAGATCTCAGGGCAGCTCACGGAATAAAATAACACAGGATAAAAACAAGTAAATAACTAAAGGCACAACAGCAAAACCTGCCCTTCCAAAAGACACATTTAAAAGGCCTGGCTAGTGAAGCCTTTTAATGTGTAATGTTTTATTATGCTTTTATATGTGTTAGAAGCTGCCCAGAGTGGCTGGGGCAAGATAGGCAGGGTACAGATAATAAAATCTATCTATCCAGTTCCGTTTTTCCAAAAAATGTTTAGGGGTACTCCCATTTTGACTCAAGAAATTCACCATTTTACAGTTCAAATCGGGAAAAATAAATACAGTAAATGGACAAAAGTACAAAGATTCACAAAATGTTTATGGGTATGCGTACCCATGCGTCTCTCCAGAAAAAGCACTGTATCTTATCTATCTATCTATCTATCTATCTATCTATCTATCTATCTATCATCTGCCTGCCAAATGCCTTGCTGAAGAGGAAATGTTTTTGCCTGGCACCTAAAAATATAAAATGAAGGCTGCCAGTGAACCTTCCTGGGAAGACTATTCCACAAATGGGGAGCCACTACAGACAAGGCTCGTTCTCGTGTTGCCACCCTCTGGACCTCACGAGGAGAAGGTGCACAAAGAAGGGCCTGAGAGGATGAACACAGAGTCCAGGATGGTTTCTATGGGGAGAGGGTTTTGCGGTCCTGAGCCATTTAAATCATTGCTTTGACTTTGCAATTCCTGCATTGCAGGGGGCTGAATAATAATAATAATAATAATAATAATAATAATAATAATAATAATAAATTTGTACCCCGCCCATCTGGCTGGGTTTCCCCAGCCACTCTGGGTGGCTTCCAACAAAGAAAATACATTAAAATGTCACACATTAAAAGCTTCCCTAAACAGGGCTGCCTTCAGATGTCTTCTAAAAGTCTGGTAGTTGTTGTTCTCTTTGACATCTGATGGGAGGGCGTTCCACAGGGAGGGTGCCACTACCGAGAAGGCCCTCTGCCTGGTTCCCTGTAGCTTTGCTTCCCGCAGTGAGGGAACTGCTAGAAGGCTCTTGGGGTCCCTTTCCAACACTACAGTTCTGTGATTATATTATATTTTATAGCCCACTTTTCCCCACAGATGAAAGGCTCTTCTAGACTGATGGGGCAGGAGCTGCAGGTGCATTCTGGAGCACGCCATTGATGCAACAATAGTGCATTACTTGGGGATTCACGATGGACTGTCCACACATCCTTTCCCTTTGTTAACTGCTCTGCGTTGCTCCCTCTGCCCCCGTGCTGTCTGGAGCACAGCACAACAAAAGCGGGCCAAAAACAAAAATCAAATGAACCGGAAAGTTTTATGGCATGAAAATGGACAGGATCTCAGCAGGGCACACACATGCTGGAAAATGAAGCAACGCGTCTGCCCCACAAACCTCTTGCAGGTGCAAAAACAGTATTGACAGCAGGATCGTGTAAAACAGCCCTGACACCATCATTACAAATTCTCGTGACTGCATGATGAAAAGGATGTCTGGAGGGGCCCAAAAGCTGTTTCCCCCTAAAGCGGCCCAGGTCCATTTAAAACAATAAAATAAAAATAAGGGAGGGAAAGAGAAATTGTTGGGATCCCAGAATCCAGTGGTGACCAGTAAAATGGTCTTTACATCCTGCTGGACCCAAGCTGTGGTTGTCCTGTATAGAAGTTGCACAGAATTAATGTTTAATTTGTGCACTATTTAAAAGCTTTTTTTGGTTGTGGGGGCAGAGATCTCAAAGTCTCGTACATTAAAACAGGGGTGGAGAACCTCAGTCCAGAAGTTAAATGCGGCCCTCCAGGCCTCTCTATCTGGCCCTGGGGGCTCTCTCCAGAGCACACCCCTCACTAGTCGTTCTTCATCTCCTCCCAGAGTGTTTTTGCCTGGCTGGAATGTGCCCTGAGCTCTGATAACATCTCTCACTGGCCTGGATGGTGCGTAGAGAGGGGTGTGTCAGAGTGTGGAGAAACTAGCCCTTTGCACAAAGGTCACGTTTGCATTGATCGCTCTGCCCACATTTGCATCTGGCCCCCCCACCCCCAGGAAGGTTGCCCCAAAGGGACTGCAGCCCTTGAAGTGAAAAACAAATAATTAAAATTCCTCTCCCTTAGACATCTGGAAGGTGGCAGAGAGGCCACAGACAGGCACCCACTCATCCCCTCACATGGAGGGAACCTGGAATATGCCCTGAAGCAGGTGAGCAAGGTTTCAGATCTGACAGTGGCTGACCACCCAGCTGATGCTGTAGCTGTGGATTTCCTGCACTGGCAGGGGGTCAGGCTGGATGGCCTCTGGGGTACCCCCGACTCTCTGATTCCACTGTCCCAGGGCAGATAAAATGATCACAAGGAGATCTATATAGTTTACGGTGCAGGCCTGTACAAAGCAAGCCCCACACAGTTCTGCAGGGCTTACTCAGCACACTGGCTGGGGCTGATGGGCACCAGGTTGGCAATGGGCACATCTACTGACCAAGGCTGGGTCCAACCCAGTACTTATCAGCTGTCTTTCTGCTTGACTAATTGCTCAAGCCTATAGAGTGGTACCTCGGGTTAAGAACTTAATTCATTCTGGAGGTCCGTTCTTAACCTGAAACTGTTCTTAACCTGAGACACCACTTTATCTAATGGGGCCTCCCGCTGCTGCCATGTGATTTCTGTTCTCATCCTGAAGCAAAGTTCTTAACCCGAGGTACTATTTCTGGGTTAGTGGAGTTTGTAACCTGAAACATCTGTAACCTGAGGTACCACTGCACGTGCTTCCTCAGAAATAAACACTGTGCTCGATAGAACTTACTCCCAAGTAAGCTTGGAGTGGCTACTACAGCTTAGGCTGCCTTTCATTAGAAGGCAGCCCCATTGATAAAGGCGGTACCTATAGATCAGATTAGAAGTGAATCACGCACATTATCTTAGAAATTCCTGAACAACAACCCTGTTTGGCAAGGTTGATATTTTTATACCTATATTATAGACAAAAGAATGAGACTGAGAGGGTGGCTTTCCTTAGAACCTTCCCCCAATGTCAGTGAATTCACCAAAAGGCAAATCCCTTTGTGGATGTGGGAGTGGAGAGCGGGAAGAAATCACACAATCTGATATAAATAAAAGGGGCAGTATTCAGAATCTGGTAGAAAATTTCAATGTAATTAGGGATCAAAAGGAGCCATATTTGGACAGCAGAATTTGAAAGGTAGACTCTCGCATGAAACTGCTGAATTATAACTCATCAAGAAGCTCAGCACTATTCATTTGGGTCTGAATAAAGATAATGTTTCCCTGTATCACTGAAGATCTTAACGCAATTATCTTAGCCGTGCTGAGTGAATCATCCCTGGTTTGCTGCTGCAAAGGATAACTGCGCATATTTCACATACATTTAAGCAGCAGCTCAATTATCCCCAACTGCACTTTTTTGTCTGTTGGTTTTGCATCTCATTGCCTTTCCACTATCACCTAATTCAATTAACACCAACTGTACTTGTCTGGATCTCATTGCCAATCATCTCCCACCTTACATTCCCCTCCTTTCTTTGTGGCTTGTCCTACCTCCAGCTGCCAGCTGAGATTTTGCTTCATCCACCTGAAAACATGGACTTCTTAAAGTCCACAAAAGCTTCTGCCACAATACATACATTGCATAGGAGTGAACTCCTAGGGACCGAGGTCCCTTCAACCCGCCAAAATATTTGAGAGGGCTGGGCTCCCCCAAAGGTGATGGGCATTGCCATTCAAATGGTGAGCTTGCACCATGTCTTGTGATCGATTATGTGCTTACCTGCCTCTCCCAATATTTTATTCAAGTCGGCACCCCTGTACATTTGTTAATCTGTAAAGTGTCACATTTGCTAGTCTGTAAAGTGTCTGTAAAGTGGGACGAGGGTGGTGCTGTGGCCTAAACCACAGAGCCTAGGGCTTGCCGATCGGAAGGTTGGCGGTTTGAATCCCCGCAACGGGGTGAGCTCCTGTTGCTCGGTCCCTGCTCCTGCCAACCTAGCAGTTCAAAAGCACGTCAAAGCAAAAGTAGATGAATAGGTACTGTTCCGGCGGGAAGGTAAACGGCGTTTCCGTGTGCTGCTCTGGTTTCACCAGAAGCGGCTTAGTCATGCTGGCCACATGACCCGGAAAGTCTGTCTGCGGACAAACATTGGCTCCCTCAGCCTGTAAAGCGAGATGAGCGCCGCAACCCCAGAGTCGTTCGCAACTGGACTTAACTGTCAGGGGTCCTTTACCTTTTTAAAGTGTCACAGGGCTCCTTGATGTTTTGCCTGCAACAGACTATCGCAGCTACCCCTCTAGAAATACAGTGGTACCTCGGGTTACATATGCTTCAGGTTACATACGCTTCTGGTTACAGACTCTGCTAACCCAGAAATAGTACCTTGGGTTAAGAACTGTGCTTTGGGACGAGAACAGAAATCATGCTCTGGCGGCATGGCGGCAGCGGGAAGCCCCATTAGCTAAAGTGGTCTTCAGGTTAAGAACATTTGCTGGGTGCAACAGCAGGAGAGAGCCAGGGCACTCATGTCCTGCCCAGAAGCATCTGGTTGGCAACTGTGGGAAGAGAAGAGGAGCCAAGCTGAATCAGGCCAGAGGCCTGCCATAGCCCAGAGTTCTCACAGGAGTCAGCTATATACCGATGGGAAACTCCCCACAAGCAGATCCTAATGCAACAGAATTCAGTACAGATGTGTTCTGCCTCTGACAGTGGAGGAAGACCGTAGACTTCATAGCTAGTAGCTAGTGACAGCTGTCTCCTCTGTGAACTTGTCAAATCCTCTTTCAAGGAGGATAGTTACCTTTTGTGGGAGCAACTTTATGTTCTGAGAAACTGGCACAGACAGGACTTTGGTCTTATACAGCGGGACAGTTCTGGTTCTTCTTATCTTTTTTTTACTGAATAGCAGATGCTCTGTTCATTCCTCCACCTCCTAGCAGCTTTGATACACCAGCCAAATTGCATTTAGTTCATCCAAAGGGAGGTCAAATCCCTGCCACGAGTGCTACAATGGAGAATGCCAACTTTGCCCATACATGGGAACAGGAAGCTGCCTTATACCCAGTTGGACCGTGGTCCAATATTATCTCCATTGGTCACCAGCAGTTTTCCAGAGTTTCAGATGGGGGAGAGTTCCAGTCCTAGCAGGAGATGTTGGGGATCGAACCTGGGACTTTCTGCATGCAAAGCAGATGTTCTAATTGCTGAGCTACAGCCCTGTGCTTGTACGGATCACACCAATTGTGACTGTGGAAGGATGATGGGGGAGAAATAGGGGGTCTTGGTTAATCCCTGCTCAGAAAATTTCAGCACAATACCACTGCCCTAAACACACATCCACTCAAGCTGTTTGTAGCTTTGCTCCAAAGGACACTGAGGAGTCCTTGAACTTGACTTCTCATGCTTTGCTCTCAACCATAGAGGTGTGATCACTGCTATTTGAGACTCTAAGGGGCTAGCATGAGGGAAGTGGTTTAGCCTGCAACAAATAATCCGTGCACTCAGAAAGCACACATGTCACACAGAATGCACATGTTAAACATGCACAGTAAACACGACTGGCTGGAGCACGTTGGAACTGATAGGATGGAAAGGAGGGAGCCCAACAGTAGGTGGCGCCAGAGCCAACAGCAGGCAAAATGAATTCATTCTAGTTTTGTCCCCATCCTTTCCCCCTGCTGAGTTCTGCAAGGGCAACACTGAGATTAAGGAGGAGAGGGAAGCTGACAGTCAGGTCCACTTCTTGGACTGCTTGTAGGTCAGATGGCAGGCAGGCAGAGTCGTGTGAAATCACAGTGCTTCAACTCTCAGAGCTACCCCCACCCCCATGCAGCCTTGCAGCAGGCATGCACACAACAACAACAACAACAACAACAACAACAACAACAACAAATGCAGATTGGATTGTTTGCTTTAAAAGCCATGGGTTGGTGTTGGTAAGAAAAAACAGCTGCAGGGGGTTAGGGCTTGGGGAGGAAGGAGGAGGTATCTAGGACTAGTTGCAACACCCAGCACTCAAAAAACTCCTGCAACAAATGCAAAAATGGCACTTGCGAACTTGTAGCAGTTGTACAAAGAGCCACCTTCCTGCAGGTGCCTTATTTAGCACCGCAGGGAAATTCAGCCAAATCCCCTTGTGCAAAATGTATTGCAATGAAATGGCTTGTTGAGAAGCTGTGGTGGGGAGAGGGGTGTTTTAACCCTTTCTCTCCCCCTTCTTAGTTTGCTCAGAATTGCTCACACACAGTCCTCCACGAAGAAGACAGGAAAGGCACGTTTTTGGGGGGCGGGGCTCTGTAGGAAGGCAAGAGCACTGGGGAGGCAGTTTGGAAAAGACATGAAGCAGGCAGCAAGTGAGGAAAAGGGTTAACCACACACATACGCTGCCTTTGCATTCTAGATTCACACCCCCCTCTTTTTTTCTTAGAAAAAGCAGCCTCCAGGCATCTCTTACATGTGTAGCTCCACCCTAAGCTGGTCACAAATCTACAAGTCAAAGAAGCCATGAATTATCAACCCTATTTGGAGAAGGGCCATGGCTCAGTGGTAGAGCATCTGCTTTGCATGCACAGTCCACTCCCTAACATCTCCAGGTAGGGCTGGGGGTGTCCCTTGCCTGAAACCCTGGAGAGCTGCTGCCAGTCAGTGTAGACAACACTGGCTAGATGGACCAATGGATCTGACTCAAGATAAGGCAGATTCCAAGGTTTCTATGTTTGAAAGGAAGGGTGGTAGAGCACCTGCTTTGCATACAGAAGGTCCCAGTTCAATTCCTGGCATCTTCAAGTAGGGCTGGAAATGTCCCCTGCCTGAAACTCCGGAGAGCTGCTGCCAGTCAGTGTCGACAACATTGGCTAGATGGACCAACAGTCTGACTCTGCATAAAACAGCTCCCTACATTTCCATTATGAAGGAGATTTGACATCTCTACTCCACCTTTTCCCTGCGCTGAAAATCAAACAAGGCATCTTGAAAATAAATGCAGTGGTACCTTGGGTTACATACGCTCCAGGTTACAGACTCCGCTAACCCAGAAATAGTACCTCGGGTTAAGAACTTTGCTTCAGGATGAGAACAAAAATTGTGCAGCGGTGGCGCGGCAGCAGCAGGAGGCCCCATTAGCTAAAGTGGTGCTTCAGGTTAAGAACAGTTTCAGGTTAAGAACGGACCTCCGGAACAAATTAAATACTTAACCCGAGGTACCACTGTAAGACAAAATACAGTAAGACAAAATACACAGCTTTTCTCCCCCCCCAACCCCACAGCAGCCTAAAAATGTCATCACAAAGGCTCAAATTAAAAGAATGTAAAGCTTTAACAAGCATTTTAAGAGTTGGCAAAGAGATGGCGAGACATAGCTCTCCTGGGTTGGAGAAGGGCTCTTCTGCTGTGTACTGCATAGCTGAGATAGCTCACCTGGTAGAGCGTTAGACTCTTAATCTCAGGGTTGTGGGTTTGAGCCCCACATTGGGCAAAAGATTGGGCATTGCATGGGGTTGGACTGCATATGACCCTCATGGGCCCTTCCAACTCTGCCATTCTATGTCCTGTATATTACACCCCAGAATCAAAAAATAAGCAAAAACAACAAGATCCCACTTACAACTTTAGAAAGAGGAAGAGATTATTTCTTCCACTTGTGTAGGTTACAACCAAGTTTAGAACAAGCATGGCTGCTGGATCAGGCCAATGGCTATCTAAGCCCAGCATTCTGTTCTCCCAGTGGCCCACCTGAGCAGGACAGCAACTCACCCCACCTGCAATTCCCAGAAACTGGTATTCAGAAGAATACTGCCTCTGGCTGTGGAGGTACAGCCTACCCATTGTGGCTAGGAGCCATCGTTAGCTTTATCCTCCATGCATTTGTCTTTGAAAACCACCCAAGTTATTTGCCATCTTGGATTCTTCAAGTTAATCATCAACCCAAATCAGCAATCTATGGTTAATTATGCATGGTAAACCACAAGCTGGATAAAGCATGCAAGCCAAACATTTTTGATGCTATTCGATCTACTACGAATAGATTCACCCTGCCTCTGCCCATGTCGGGGAGAAAACCGGAAGCCTTAACAGGTGCCCCCCCAAATAGAACCCTCCCCCCGATAAATGTCTTTTGTCCATTTGTGTAGCTTCTGGGATTTCACCCTTCTTCTATGCCCACCCACTCTTAAAGCATGAGGTCTAGAATGTTGACTGATGCTTTTTAAACGAAAAGCTGACTTGTAATATTTGAGCCGTGTGCACCCGGTGAATGGGGTGCAGAACCATCCTACAGTTCTACAAAACAGATAGGCCCATGGTGCAGTTTAAAGTCCCGCAATGGCTTGCCTCAAAACAGGAACCAACCCCCAAAGAAATCAGACTTGTTCACAGCTTTAAATCGGACCATTGCTAAAGCAGCTTTGAATGTCGCAGGTAGCCAAGAGTTTTTAGGTAGGAAAAGCCTTCCATCTGGAGAACACCAGAGATTGGTAGTGACAGGCGACAATCCCATTCTTCAGTTATCTACTGCAATGCCACAAGGAGGTTAGCAAAGAGTGGCATTGGGAGATAGGAGAATTTCACAGCTCCGTCTTTTTAGATCTGTTGCAAAGACACACACTAAGAGTCCAGCTACTTTTGGATGGGGTAGCAGATGCTGTTGCAAGAAGCCCAAGAACAGAAAACTTCAAGACAATGAACTGAGCCAGTTGACTCAAAGGGCCAAAAAGGGGGTCTCCCTCAAAGAACATACAACAGGGCCCTTAGACATTGCCCTTGCAAACTACCAGATGCCATAGTCTCTTGCTTGGCTTCTCTTGAACGCTACAAAGTGCGCCAGCACATAAAAAGAGCCTTTCTGCTGGAACAAGCTGGTGGCTCGTCTAGTCCCTCAATGTGCTATCACAGAAGCCAATCAGAAGCCCATGGGAAGCCAGCAAGCATGACCCAACGACAACAGCACTCTCCTCACCTGCGACTCCTAGGCAACACTGCTTCTGGCAGTGGCAACAGAATATTTTTCTTAGACTACATTTTGCTGGATGAGCAAGCACAACAAGGCACCCTTCCAGAACCCAGACGTATGAATCAAGCTGCGCAGAACCTCCAAATTCTTCAATGTTACATCAGCACTGGCTTCCAAGTGGGATTTGCTTCTATCGACAGGGCGGAGCGACTTTAGCAAAACTTGAGCATCGTGGGTGTTCGACGGCAAAATGCTAACAGGCTAAGTGGGGAGTTAACTGCACAAACTCCGAAAGCTTGAGAGATGTACATTTGTGCGAACAAACAGCACAACCCTTGCAGTATACACAAGCCCCAGGAACTGTCTGCTATTCCTCTCCCTGGCACCCAAATTTCTGCAAGCCTGGAACCACATCAAGGTCTTTCCCCCTTCCACAAAAAGTGGTATTGTCCACAATAAAGTGAACAAGAGCTAACACACTCTGAACAGCATTCAGAAAGACCCAGAGGACAGAATGGGTAGCAGAATTCACGTTTGGGTTAAGCAAAGTTGGAAGTACAACAGGTGGCCATCAAATTCACAATCTTATCAGCCCTGGTGCCCAACTATTAAACCAACTGAAAACAAAACAAAACCTTATTTTGCAAAACTTTTTAACTGAATCGGCTTTAAAAGCAGAGGTCTTCACTTTCAGTCCTTGCCCATTCTTACTTAAAAAATAAAAGTTACAATGGATTTTATTGCTTTTAGAGATTAAAAAGTTCACTCAGAGAGATTGCAGAGCAATCACTGTTTTATCAAGGCTAATAATATTAACTTAATTTCGCAGGGTGTGTGTGTGTGTGTGTGTGTGTCAGATTTTCCCATGAAACCACACCCTCTGTTCCGAAAACTGCTCTACAGTAAGTTCTCATTCTTGTTCATGAGAGCCTTTCGCCAAGGTACTCTGGCTAACATACATCAGGTTATTTCATGTCACAACGATCCCACCAGGTAGGCCAACTTGAAAAAATCACACCAGCTCTTCAAATCAGGCCCTCTGTCTGCTGCCCATGTTCCAGGAGTCAAAGATCATCAATTAAATAAAATAACACAAAATAGCTTCTGGGGCTAATGTGCTCACAGCACAGTAAGCCCCATTGAATTCAGTGGGAATTCTTCTGTCCCACTGAATTCAACGGGGCTTACTCCCAGGAAAGAGAGCAGAGGATTCTAGCCTGGGAGACCTACAAGCCTTGACACGCCTTGGAGCTTCATTAAAGGGGTTCTGGCGGCCAAGAACCCCGATGCTGGGATAGGGAACGTAACAGCGAGGTGGGGGAAACAACCACAGCAAGACTGCCCTTGAGCGCGTGCAGAAGGCGCACTCGCAGCCTCCCAGTGGAGGTCTAGGATTGGATCTCCAGGCTGCTTCGAGTCCCGAAATACTATTGCCTACAGAAGGACGATTTTTTAAACAAAACGTGCGTTTGCAGCTAAGAGCAGAGCAGCGCGCCTCGCTCGCCAACCCTGGCTCCTCGAAGGGACGGAGCGCGCGCCAGATAATTCCCAGAAAGAGACCCCGTCCAGGCACCAGGGTCTGATGAAGTAGGGACCTGCTCGGGGTCCCAATCCTCCTTTCCGAGCAGGGCGAAGCCAGGCAACACAACCAGGGAGGAAGAGGGAACCTCGACAGCTCCGTCTCCGCCGCTGCCCGCAGACTGCCTGGCTCGGCGAGGCTGGCGCTTGCTCCGGCTGCCGGCACCTGCTGCAAGCGAGGGCGGCGTCGGCAGCTCCCGGCGGCCCCTAGCTCTCCTCGGCCGGCGGGCCGGGCTCGGCTTCTCCTCCGCCTTCCCTCCCACCCCGTCGCGGCGCCCGCACTCACAGCCAGTTGCTGGCGTTGGCCGAGAAGGCGGCGAGGATCAGCAGCAGCAGCGAGCGCAGGAAGTAGCGCGGGCTCATCCTGGACGGCGCGGCCGGGCGGGCGAGCGAGCGCGGACGGCGGGGCAGCGGGAGGCAGGGCCGGCGTGGGGCCGGCGGCGTCGGGCCGCAGCGCAGCCGGACCCGCGGCCGCCCGGGCTCAGGTGCTGCTGCCGCGGCCGCCCGGCGCTCCGACCCGACGGCTCGAGCAGCAGGGCGCAGCCGGGGCTGATGCGCCGGCGGCAGCTGCGGAGCCGGACTGTCAGCTCGGCCGGGAGCTCCCGGGATGGAGCGGCGGGCGGGCGGGGCGCGGCCCCAGGAGGCGGCTCTCGGGGCGGGACCGGGACACCCCTGAGGCGGAGCGCGCGGCGCCCGGGAGCCGCCTCGCCTGCTGCCGTCCGCGTCCCGGGCCGACCCAGCGCGGCCCAAGGGGGCTTACTCGGGAGTAAAGCGGCGCGGAGCCCACGCGCGGGCTACTCCCGAGTAAGAGAGCGGGCGTCCGGGGAGGCGATCTTCCCCGAGCAAGTCTGAGTTATGCCTATTTCCAAAGCACATTTCTCTTCTTTCTTGTTCTCTCTCCCTGCAACCAGAGCTCTTCTGGGTTATTCTGGAAATGCGCTAAGCATTCTGCACTAGCTCGGAGAAGCCCTCTTCCTTTTATTTTTACCGCATGTGTTTTCTCAAAGGGGAAGTGCTTGCCTGAAGCCTCTCCCATCTCTCTGCCTTGGAAGTCCAAACTTCCTGGATGTGGATGCAGGGACTTCTTAGCCTGGGGAATAGGGCACTCTGTGCATGGTCAGAGGTGCCTGGGTGTTCTTGCTTTTGTTTGCTTCGTACGGTTATAGAGCTGACAGCTCTGGCAGTGAACACAGCTTTAAAGGTTGAGCTAGGGGAATGGCTAAAGAGCAATGGTCTGCTTGCTATGTGAGTTCATTTATGAAATGCTGTGGGTCAAACCACAGAGCCTAGGACTTGCCAATCAGAAGGTTGGCGGTTCGAATCCCCACGACGGGGTGAGCTCCCGTTGCTCGGTCCCTGCTCCTGCCAACCTAGCAGTTCGAAAGCACGCCCCAAAGTGCAAGTAGATAAATAGGTACCGCTCCAGCAGGAAGGTAAACAGCGTTTCCGTGTGCTGCTCTGGTTCGCCAGAAGCGGCTTAGTCATGCCGACTCCCTCGGCCAGTAAAGCGAGATGAGCGCCGCAACCCCAGAGTCGGTCACGACTGGACCTAATGGTCAGGGGTCCCTTTACCTTTACCTAACTGTTTCTTAAGGGATTGGGACATAAACTGTACTGTACTACCTTCTCAGCTGTGAAATGTGTTTGGTGTAGAGCTCCGCCCACACAACCCCCTCCTTCCTTTTAAAGGTCAAGTTTCCAGCCCTCAAGGCCACAGAGAGAGAAGGTTGAAAGTCTGCAGGCCCTATTGCCAGGGGAAACCTCAGCTGCACAGGGGTGGGGCTGAGCAGGTGAGAGTTCAGGGACAGCTGCAGCTCTCCCCTTCCCCTGGATTAGCAGAAGCAGCAATTTATGCAAAATAAGCAGAATTCCGCTAAACTGGGTATATAGCCGAAGGTAGAACAAGGAAAACTGGCATGGGTTGAAACGACGGGCAGGCCTTGACCTGTCCTACAGTGGTGGTTCTTTCTGCTTTTCAGACTTTTAAAAATCCATGCAGAGAAGGCCTGCATTCCTTCCATTGTCTCCTTGCCCAGAGAGAGTAGCTGCAGTAGATCAGTAAAAGAGAGAGAGAGAGTGCGTAAGAGAGAGAGAAGCTTCCAATACTTGTTTTAAAGCCCGTTGCCTTTCTCCAAATGCCTTAGCTTGGGCTTGCACTGGTAATAGGATGGGAAACTGCTGGATGTCCACGGACTCCAGCTACCATCTTGCCTGATCCCTGGCCATGCTGGCTGGGGCTGATGGGAGCTATAGTCCGGCAACACCTGCAGGGACACAGGCTCCCAACCCCCTGCGGTATTATTTTGGTAGAAGAAGGGTCATCGGAAAAGATGTACCATATAAGCTGCTTTGCGCTGAGTGAAAACATTCGTCCGTCTAGCTCAGCATCATCTGCACCAATAATCACCAATGTGGTGCCCGTGGGCACAATGGCACCCATAAAGATTTTCATTGGTCTCCATGGGCAGGTCCCCCAGATGGTGAGCTCCTCCTCCTCCTCTTTCTTCTTAAAAAGTCCGTAGGCCACTTAGAATCATAGAATGGTAGAGCTGGAAGGGACCCTAAGAGCCATCTAGTCCAACCCCCTTCAATGCAGGAGTCGCAGCTAAAGAATCCCCGAAGAGATGTCCCCCCTCCCCCCAAATTCTGCTTCAAAACTTTCCAGTGAAGAAGAGGCCACCACCTTCCGAGGGAGCCCATTATCGTCTCAAGTAGCTCTTTCTTAGAAACAATGTAGTGGTTTCCTTGAAATGGGCATGTTGTATATTTTTCCTGGTGCTGTTGTTATTAGGCACCAAAAGCATCAGTGTCTCTCTCTCTGTATGTAATAAATAAAAAGAGCCTGGCTGCTCAAACAGCCATTGGCTCTGGCGCCACCTACTGTCAGGCTCCTTGTCTTCCACCCCACCAACTCTGTTTTCCTTGGAGTTTGTGTGTGTGTGTGTGTGTGTGTGCGCACGCGCGCACTTTTGTAGTGGCTTTTGCTGCTCTCCTCCTCCCTGGAAGGCCAAACATGGGCAGGTGGGCACCCCTGCCAATCAGCAATATTATTGTTATTGTTGTTATTATTATTATCACCTGAGCTTTAAAAAATCTTCTTCTTCCTCCAACGAGCCAGCAGTTGTGGTATATATGGAGTCCTCACATTTCAACCCTCACAACAACCCTGCAAAGTAGGTGAGATTAGGAGGCAGTGGGTTGTATCCAACAGCAGTCCTATTTGGAATAGACTGTCAGTGAAGTGCAGAGGTGATTTTGAGGTATTAGGCTATTAGCAGTTGCTTAACTAGCCACTAGAGGGAGACATGATCACATACAACTTAAGACTTGAGCACCATCCCCCTTTGGGGCTGGGCCTGAATATCTCCCACCGCCCATCCCAAGGTTAGAGAGTTGGACCCTCAAAACCATCATTTCTGGAACAGCCTGACGTTTAAGTTGGCCAGTGCTGCAGCAACTCATGATTCCTCATCTTGTTTTGGAGATATGGAAGGCTGGTCTCACTGGTCTGGAGATGTGGAAAGCTTCTTGCTATGTCTGGATAAGGTTCTGAAGGCCTTTGAGGAAAGGTGGTCTTCCCCATTCCGACTGATGGCAATGGGTGGGGGCAGACCACCACGCTTTGACATGACTAGATTTGGAAACTGGTAAGTATCCCAAGTCCATGTTAGAAAGAAGAAGTGGGTCTACATGGATGGTCCTCCTACCCCATTTAAACTGTTTTCAGAATCTAAGACAGGCTTCCTCAACTCTGCCCTCCAGATGTTTTGAGACTACAATTCCCATCATCCCTGACCACTGGTCCTGCTAGCTAGGGATCATGGGAGTTGTAGGCCAAAAACATCTGGAGGGGCGAGGTTGAGGATGCCTGATCTAAGACCACCTTCAGCTTGATCTCCCCTGGTCCAATCTTCCCAGCTGCCTGCATCCTAACCAACAAGCACATCTGCCTAGAGTGGCAGAGGAATGGCGCTCTACATACCATGCTCTGTGGTATAGTGGTTAAGAGCGGTAATCTGGTGAACCGGGTTCGTGTCTCCGCTCCTCCACATGCAGCCGCTGGGTGACCTTGGGCTAGTCACACTTCTTTGAAGTCTCTCAGGCTCACTCACCTCACAGAGTGTTTGTTGTGGGGGAGGAAGGGAAAGGAGAATGTTAGCTGCTTTGAGACTCCTTCGGGTAGTGATAAAGAGGGATATCAAATCCAAACTCTTCTTCTCCTCCTCCATGCTGGATTGTCTGTTTTTCATTGCGGTGCCGGCATTGGCATAGAGGTACCAAGGGGCTGGACACAGGGAGGCTGAGGGCCAGCTTGTGCCTTGTAAGGAAGATGCCACAGTGCGAGTTTGGATGGTCATCTGACAGGGATTCTTTAGCTGTGATACTTGCATTGATGACCCTTGGGGTCCTTGTCAAATAATGCCTGGTCCCCATGAAATGGGAGGTATGCTAGGCAGAACTGAACACAGAGAGCGCTTCCAGGCTCTCACTGTTTTTGAGCGGGATTCAATCACATCCAGGCAAATTCAATCAAAGCACAATCAATGCTGATTGGGGGCTCTTTTGAAACAAAGCCGCTTCCTTTGCAATATGGAAAATGCTGGGATCATCTATTCTCCCCAGAAACAAATCAGGACGAATACTCATTAAGCAAGTTGCCTGGATCTGGAAACATTTATTATGTTATTGTTTTACCATTCTCCTTGGCTCTGTTATCAGAGTCTATTTATTATTCAAGGAGAAGCAATGCATATAGCTGTGGGCAGGGGATTGCAAGAGGGTGAATTGAAAGAGGAGTTATTGTATATTAAAAAGAATTTAGCAGGGTGGTGGTAGTGGAATCAAATAAACTATTGGTACCAAAACTGGCATTGACCTACCTTAAAGGGTTTTTGCAAGGAATACTCAAGTGAGCACAAGTTAAGGTTGGGTGCTGTGCTGTGTAGCCCATTACCACATTTAAAACTGTGTAGCCGGTTACCACATTTAAAACCAGAAGCAATCTCTGCTTATCCTCAGGCCTTTGTGGTGGGAAGAGAGTCACTCAAGTCTGGTTCGCTTGAGGCTGATCCAGAATTTATGATTAACCCAATAGCCAAACTTTGTGCAAGGCTCTGGGATCAGGGGAGATCAGAGCAGAGAAACATTTCAGTATATAGCTATAATAATAATAATAATAATAATAATAATAATAATAATAATAATAGCATGATGATGATGATGATGGGCTGGGTTCAAAGTGCCACATTTATGCTGATGGCATTTTTCTTATTATTTGCTTCTTCCTGTTGTTACTCATGTCCAACCTGTTTAGGACATTGCGACACAATTGTGAACCAAAACGGAATATAAGAACAAAAGAAGTGTCCAGCTGGATCAGACCAAAGGCTCATCTTG